TTGTTTCTGCTCACTTTCAGAGAAACAGTGTTATGGTGCAAAAAAAATGACTCATCTATTTCCACCTGATGTAGTGTCAGGGATTCTGCAAAGCTCCAACTGTTTATTTCTATTTATCCCAAATATTTGACGATACATTTCTATTGTTTTCGACAAATAAATAGATTTGTGGACATAGAGGCAATATTGTGATTCATACCCAAAGAAGATCAACAAAATAAGATTCAGCCCTCCCTCGCTGCTGCTGCGCTCCATCCATACTGCACCATGACAAATCGCTGCTATATTTAGGAAAATTTTACCCTCAAACTGTCTCTGAGGAAAGTGCACCCACTAACATTTTAGTGTTGCTTGTTTGGATTATTTGGATGTTATTGTCAGGAAAATAATCTGAAAACAGTATTTTCATAAAGTTAAATGCAGGGAATCACATTTCAGCAAATCAACATTATATTTTCTGCAAAAACAAAAGGCACACAAGAGAAAAAAACACAGGTTTTCTACTTAGACATCATATTTTATTTGTTAACATGCAAACTAGGAGTGAAACGGTGTCCACTTTCAAAATCACAGCAATTTTCTTTTATACAGTCACTATAGCTTCAAGTAATTTTAATGAAAAGAAAAAAATTGCCATAGAGAGAAAAGAACAGACAGACTATCAGAGCAGATAGCCCTACTAACTAAAAAGCCAGTATGCAAAATAAAAACTGGTGAAATTACTCCCAAATATAATTTGCTTATTCTTTTGCTTATTCATATATGTGTCAAAGTTACAAATAAATGTTATAGATGATCTCATTACAACTACAATTATCGTTTTGCTTTATTGTTTTGCCAAAAACAGCAGTTAGCTGATTTGACATAGCTGAAATTATAAAACAGTGAGAAGAGAAAAGAACGACAGCGCTCACCTGCTCAAGGCTCTTCCCGTTAGGTGTGGTGTTTTGCTGCATCTCGTTATCGGTCGACGTCTCCCAGGGTAGCTTGTTCTTCCCTTTGCCTGCGCTCACAATCCTCCTCTGAAACATTGGATCGTCAGTGAGGGAGCCTAAGCTGCCATAGCCGGACAGTAGATCACTCTCATGCTCTGTCCTGTAGCTCCTGGCGCTGCTCGTCCGGCCCCCATTTATCACCCAGTCCAGATCGGCCCCAGAAGTGTGCTGTCCTGTGGACCACTGTCCGGGTTTGGGCACCACCAGGCCATACTCCACAATCCCCTCTGAGGTCAGCTTTGGAAGGATGCGCCTTGCTCGTCTTGCGTGTACAGCTGCCATCAGACCTTCTGCGTCCTCATTAAGCTCAACCATGTCCAAAGCTTTCATCAATGGTTGCTTCTTTCCTGTGTCAAGGCAATGGTCAAAAACAGCGAATAACTCCAAAGCAGCATGGCGGACGTTCTTTTTGTTGTCTGCCAGATATGGAGCCACCTCGAAGCATAGCTTGGGAATATTGAAATCTTTCCTAGGATGAGTGAGCATAGCTGCCATGACGATGTTCAGGACGTCTTCCCGGACCCTGGAGTTCTTGTGTTTCAAGTTGCCAATGATGAGGTCTAATACTTGTTGCGGTGGAGTAGTTTTCATCAGCTGCTGAAACACATTATGGTATTCATTTCTGGTGACAGCACGAGTGTCACCGAGGGCCTTCAGGGCAACGAAAACTATATGTTTCAAAAATCTGTCAACGCCAGTCTCCAGCTTCTGTATTAGCAGGTTTAAAACCTGCAAGGTGCCATACAGCACCTTAAAATTACTGTCATCTAGAAGTCGGGGAAGAAAATTGATGAACTCCTCAACACTCCCAGGTGGGACTGATTTAATGTCCACTTCTGAGAGGATACATTTAAGCTTTTCCACCCCATTTGTGCGATTCTGGTAATTCTTTGAGTCCAGAAGCTGGTCATGTATCTCCTGGGAGATTAATCCAGGTATCATTGTTGGCGGATTTATGGATTGTCAAATTTGAGAATCCAAAAAGGAAAACAGATTCCAGCGAGGACAATAATGTTCCTCCCCTTTATTCTGTGGTTTCATCTTGAGCAGCTGATGATGGAGAACTGAGGTCCTGTTGGATGGTCTATGAATGTGACACACAGGATTAAGAAAATTAAGAAAAGAAATGAACCACAAAAGTTGAAAAGAAGCAAAGCAACACAGTGGAAAATCCTAACACTTATCTTGATGATTCAAAAAGGTAAGAATATTATCAAGAGGTAGAGAAGGACAATATTTAAAATTTCAATCATCATCGCAGTTGCATCAAATTGCTTGGATGCAATTATTGGTTGGATATTATATTTCAGATACTATGTTTTCAAAGTCTGCATGCCAATAATATCTGGCTAGTTTGAGGGACTCTAACTGCCCTTGTTCTCCACATCAGATCCTCAGAAACTAAAGCTTACAGGAAGTACTGAGGACATTGTAGAAAAGAAGTCATATTTTTTTATGACTTGACATTATTGGGGAAATAAATGCCAAAACATTTTTTTAAACATTGATGGACAAATATGTGCATATTATTGGCATAACAAAGGGATAAAATTCTTTTAATTAGTGTGTTTGCTTCTGTTATGTTACCGTATTGTCAATGAAACAGGAATGACCAGTTTCTTAATCGCACCTAAAACAAATTATATAACATAGAAGATAAAAATGTATCTTAGGTATTTAATGTTATTTATCAATTACCAATTTAGTATAAATTATTTTCACATTAATTATTATTTTTTACTATGCATTCTTTAAGAAAATTGCATTATTTAACAACAACAACAAGACAAAAAAGAAGACATTTTTATTTAAAAATATCTTTAACACTAAGATGGGATTTCTTTTAACAGTCTGTGCTCTCTTCTTTTTTTAAACATTTCTTCTCAAATCAAGTTGTTTTAAGAAACCTTTTGTTTGGCTTGGTAAGTTTACATGACCACTTATGTAAAGAAAAATCTGATGTTTTCTTATTATTTCTTATTATTATTTTCCTCGAGATTTCTCAAAATCCTTTGAGAAAACTTAGGCGTTTTCTAAATTATTGTCATGTTTTTAGGACAAATTTGTGTCTGCTGTCGTGTTTTCGCACCACGGGAACAATATAGGCTTTAACTCATGGAATAAGGCTTTGACCAAAAACCCACAATATTGCCCCGTTAAGGCATGAAGCATCCTGCTACATTTTTTAAAAATGAATTCAACCACTTGTGGCTCTGGTTAGCTTCGGAGCGCAGTGGCCGAAACAGTGTTTTCTGCAAATATATCTAATTACACATAGCCAGTTTAACATTATGTACTTACAAATGCCACTAGTGGAGCACTTACCCGCTTTATGCTAAGTAATACATTTTTTATTACATGTTACCGTTACCCAGGCTCATCAGTTAGCACCCAACCAAAGCGTAGCTAACATGCCACTCCGCTTAATTTGACCGTGTTAGGTGAGGAGTATCTGGGCGAGCAAAATTAGAAAGAAAACAGACCTTACATTTCTGCTGGCCCTCCTCCTCTTCGTTAACCCAACGCAAAACTGTCTACTGCTCCGACGTCCAGCCTCTTCGCGTCATGCTGCAGCGGCGACAGGTCTGCTGGTAAACGTGGATAATATTTTCCTCCGTTGGCCGAAGAGTTGAATGTTTGGAAGCTATGAAGGTATTCAGCCTTAGAAGAGCCCACACACACACACGCAATCACGCATACACACACCGAGGCAGCAAAATGGCGAATGCATGTCGCAAACTGAGTGCTTCCATGGTGACGCGAGTTGGAGTCCTGGCTCCTCCAGGCGGAAGCTTCATCATCATCATCGTCATCATCATCATCGTCATCATCATCACCATAACAGAGCTACAGAAGAATGAGGATCAAAACGAGAAGAGTTAGGAAATGGAAACGAAACACGAGAGAGAGAAAAAAGTTCTTATTTAGAAAATAAAATACATTAAAAAAACCCCAAAAACAACTTTAGTTAAAGTTGAAGCCTCTAATCTCTATGTTTTAACCGATAGACCTAATTATGAGTTCGTTATCAGTTAATATGATGATAAACTTAATTGCCAGAGAGGCTTTCTGCCACTCTGGTTTGTTTTTCACATTAATTTCTTTTAGTTTACATATTTTGGTCATAGCAAATATTCTACTACTAAACCAAATTCTGGAAGATTACAATGTATGCGGGTGATGGGAGATAAAACACTAGCACTGCGACAAAAACAATTTTTTTTTCAATTATTTGTTTGTGACTGTAATTTTTTTTTTTTATCTCAGTAATACAAATAAAAAATGGCTTTTCAAATGTTAGTGTAGTTCTGGTAGAGTTTTTCCTAAGCAATTAGATTGGATCCATCTTTAAATGGACTGACTGTCGACGTGCACGCTTGCCATCATATCGGCCACACATTAAAAGTGTAAGTTTAACAAGATTACATATTTCTTGGACAGTGCTAATAAACACGTTTTCGCATATTTGAATATGTTATAAAAATGCATTTTTTTTCAAAACACAGACAAGAAAAATAAAATATTGAAATAAAAAATTGCCATGAATATTTAGAAGTGCCACAATCAAATCTTTAAATATATGTCCTCAGTACACTAAAAATAGATTCATATTTAACTTTAATATATTACAGAAAATTCTAATTTTTCTACACAGCGATTTCAATTTCTGAATCTCATGTTGAGATGAAGTAATGTCAAGAAGACAGAAGTTGTTCAGACCTATACGTAAAATGATCAACAATGCGGTCTCAGTGCTGCATTCAGAGTAACATGTTTTCACAACATTGAAATGGCATCTAGTAATAATTTATTTTAAATTATATATTGTATTTTTCCTCGAACCTAGTACTATAATGTTTATTTACTTGGTAGTGCTGCTGATAATCAATACATATTTTTGTTAGTATTTCAGAATAAAATCAAATTATTTTGTTTTGAATTTTATTAAGAATAAAGGCCATGGGATTTTATTATGAAAGGCAACGGAAGTGGGTGTTCTGTCCTGGCAGCTCGTCATTGTGAGTGCTCGTCTTTTAGCTTTGTGGCTAGGTTGGTTGGCAGTCGGTTGTTTTCGTGTTAGCCTTCCTGTGGTCTGCCGTCGCTACCGCATATTCGGTCGCTATCTGCACGCACCATATAATACAGGTTTGGTTCTCCTATTTTAACAAAATACATATTTTTTCTAAAGCCAGTTGGAGCGCCCTGTTTTGTATCTGTCAGCCATGTTACTGTATATATTAATCAGTGATGCAGCCAGCACATAAATCCGTGTTTATTTTTTAGCGGCTAACCTGCACTGCAATGATGCTAAAAATGTATTAGTACCCAATTTTCTGCTCAGATCAAAGCCAGTCGTTAAACATGTATTCATTGCAGAGAAAGAAAACGTTTAAAATGAAGCGTTCTCTTAGCCTGATTTTACTATGTTTGCTTCTTTATTGCTAGGTTGCTAGCGAGTTTTGATTAAGTGGCATCTCCCGTTAAAAACACAAAGATAGGCCCTAATTATTGACATGATATTTGCATTCCTGTAATCTCATGTAGCTTAAACACTCACCTTTGACAGCTGGTGATTTGGAGTTATTTGTGTCCAGTGTTCGGACTTTCTAGGTAATACGTTTTGATTGTCTTAGCACTGGATTTAGAGGATAATGCTTATTTGCTTTGGGTTGAGGAAAATAAATACCGTGCTGCTTCAAAACTAATGTAAAGACAGCATCTTTCTAATTAGCTAGAGGTTCAAGTGACACACAAAGGCCTCAACCATGCCCACATCCCATGCACTGCAGTGATTTCTGGGTTTTTGTTTCCAGATGGACCAGCAGGACCAGTCCTATATGTTTGCAAGTCTCACACGGCCTCACTCGGAGCAGCTGCTGCAGGGTCTCCAGCTCCTGCGGCAGGATCACGAACTGTGTGACATTGTTCTCCGAGTGGGTGATGCCAAGATCCATGCCCACAAAGTTGTGTTGGCCAGCATCAGCCCCTACTTCAAGGCCATGTTTACAGGTAACCTCTCAGAAAAGGAGACCTCTGAGGTGGAGTTCCAGTGCATTGATGAGGCTGCTTTGCAGGTACGATTGATTAGATCTTGCAGACTGTAACTGTACTAATGGTTGTTATATTGTTTCACTAACATTTTGTTTTCTCCTAGGCCATTGTGGAGTATGCATACACAGGGACTGTGTTTATCTCCCAGGAAACAGTTGAATCCCTGCTGCCGGCTGCCAATTTACTCCAGGTTAAGCTTGTACTTAAGGAGTGCTGTTCTTTCTTAGAAAGCCAGCTGGATGCTGGGAACTGCATAGGGATCTCCCGCTTCGCAGAGACATATGGCTGCCATGACTTGTGCCTGGCTGCTACTAAGTTTATCTGTGAGAACTTTGAAGAGGTCTGTCAGACGGAGGAGTTTTTTGAACTAACAAGAGCAGAGCTGGATGAAATAGTTTCTAATGATTGTCTTAAGGTAGACACGGAGGAGACTGTGTTTTACGCCTTGGAATCATGGATCAAATATGACGTAACAGAGAGACAGCAGCATCTCGCTCAGTTGTTACACTGTGTTCGCCTTCCCCTTCTCAGCGTCAAATTTCTCACTCGCCTATATGAAGCCAACCACCTTATACGAGACGACCATGCATGCAAACACCTGCTCAATGAGGCCCTTAAATATCACTTTATGCCTGAGCACAGACTTTCTTATCAGACTGTGTTGTCAGCGAGGCCCAGGTGTGCCCCCAAGGTGTTGCTTGCAGTAGGAGGCAAGGCTGGACTGTTTGCCACATTAGAAAGGTAATCATTGCTTGCTCTTTCATATTAGAACTGCATTGAATTGACTGATTGAGATTTAGATTTTTGATATTTGTTTTTTTTTTTCTTAGAACTAAAACTTTTTTTTTTCAAATCTGAGGTTCTTTTGATAGAGGTAGTAGTTTTGAATTCAACAGAAAATAAGATGATTACAAGACTGTTCCCATTTAATCATAAAACACATGTACTTAACCTTTCTGATTAACATATGTGCTCTTTCTTTATGCATTTATGAGAAAAAAATTCTGAATGTTACATTATTTTTGATATATGTAATGATTAGAAAAAAAAAAATATTTTTCTGGATTTGACCTGTTAATCATCAGAGTGGGCCGATTGAACCATTTATGTTTTTGGTTTGTTCTGCACTTGATTTCTTCTTAGTTAAAAAATTTTTTTGCAAAGTTTTTAAGTGATGTTCATCTTTCCCTCTTCCAGCATGGAAATGTATTTCCCTCAGACTGACTCGTGGATCGGACTGGCCCCTCTTAGTGTCCCCCGGTACGAGTTTGGAGTGGCTGTGCTGGACCACAAAGTGTACGTGGTGGGAGGCATCGCCACGCACATGAGGCAGGGCATCAGCTATCGGAGGCATGAGAGCACGGTGGAGGCCTGGGACCCTGAAAGCAACACATGGTCCTCGGTGGAGCATATGGCCGAGTGTCGCAGCACACTTGGGGTGGTGGTCCAGGCTGGAGAGCTGTACGCTTTGGGAGGCTATGACGGCCAGTACTACCTGCAGTCTGTTGAGAAATATGTCCCCAAGCTGAAGGAATGGCAACCGGTGGCACCCATGACAAAGTCCCGCAGCTGCTTTGCCACGGCTGTGCTGGATGGCATGATCTATGCTATTGGAGGGTATGGCCCAGCACACATGAACAGGTAACGATTGGCGTACAGCACAAATCTGAGAAACTTGTTGAAAAGTGATGTCAGACTCTATGAAATTGCTGATTTGTGCTACTTACTTGCACTTGTTAAAAATCTTAATGCTGTTCATTGTTTTACCCTGTGGGGTATCTTTCTGAGCAACATTATTTTACAGGTTTGACTCCTTGTAGAATCTCCTAAACAAAATCAGGATAAACAGACTATTTGCTTGTTATCTACAGTTGACATGTGACCGGAGTCTCTGGACTGGTCATGGTCTGATCTTTGATCTCATCGATGATTTTTAGACTTCCTAAGCTGCTTTTTTTCTTATAAACTTGCTGGATTATAAATAGAGCTCGCAATTATGTGAAGGATATCAAGTGTTGCTGAGAAAACTCTCACTTGCTCGTTAATAAGTGCAGAGAAGATTTTTACAGAAGTGTTGGAGATGTCTCATGGAGAGGGTGCCTGCATTTGTGTTGTTGATCATCCTGCAGCTGAATCCCAGTTGCTTGTTTCTTTGACACCCAAAGCCCTGCAGGAGAATGTTTTTTCACAGAGAACCTTTGGGAACATTTTCCTCATCCTCTTGTGGTTTGTATGTGCTTTTAACCGAGCTGCAAAACAATCCCAGATTCCCAATGTTCTCCTGTTTGGCAGGACTTTTTTACTTTTGTCAGATTTGCAATCGCCTCATTATTGGTTAACTTTACTTTCTGCAGTTGTAGTTGTATAAACTACCTTGTATCAGAAAACTGCTGAATTGGATACATAAAAATTCAGTTCTCTCTTTTTACATTTGAGGAAAATAGAATTGACAGGCTGCATGATATATAGTGATTTAGGGTCGTCGCAAAGCAGTGTGTGCTATACTTGTATTGCAAAGGACTGTTTGGACTACAATATTAAAATAATACAAAGTGTTAGACTTGCAGTTTACATGCTAAAGTAATACATAGCATGTCAGTATTACAGATAAATTATGGAATTCATAATTGCTGTTTGTTTTGTTTTTTAATCCCAACATTTCTAACATAAATATGTTTTTAATTTTATCATCTAAAGTGGAGATTATATGATCTGTGGTTAGCGTTGGATGACCCAATTCAGATTTGGCAAATCTATTATAGATTTTGAAACGGAGCACCAGATTGGAGTTAGTTCAGCTGTAAGAATCCTAGCATTAAGGACAAAATTTTATTATTTAAAAAATGATGAAGTCTGTCACAAATGAAGTGATATGCAGTGGTTAAGTGCATGATAAGGCCAGAAAATGACAATGCTTTCATACAAAATCAAGTTACAGTCGATATAAAAAAGAACATATGATTTTGAAAGTGAAACATGAATACAGAGCAATTAAGAAATTAAATAGTGTGTGGCATGTATATTTGTGTAATTGTCTGGCAATAAATCTAGGAAACAGACTTAAGATTTTATTATTTATATGTATACATATATATATAAATTACTTTTTTTAACTGTGTGAAGTTTGACTTTTTATAATTTCCAGTACTGGCAAAAGATTTCGCAGCACAGAAAAAATATTGCTTTAGTAAAAACAAATGGGGCAAATGTTGTCTTTTTGTTTATTGTGGTTAATAATAACCACAATTAACACCACAACTGCTGTTAATTGTGGTGGCTACCAATGATGATGTTATTTGAAAATGAATGGCATGTAAAAGCCATATCTCGAACTGGCAAGCACTTTGGAGGGATTTGGAGAATTTAAGACAGACCCTGGTCTGGTATGTTCTTACTGCGTTTGGTCTGTTTTCAGTGTGGAGAGGTACGACCCCAGCAAGGATGCCTGGGAAATGGTAGCCCCCATGGCAGACAAGAGGATCAACTTTGGTGTCGGTGTCATGCTCGGCTTCATATTTGTGGTGGGTGGGCATAATGGAGTGTCCCACCTGTCCAGTATTGAGAGGTACGACCCCCATCAAAACCAGTGGACAGCCTGTCGGCCAATGAACGAACCTCGTACTGGTACGTTTTTAATAATAGGTTTTCTTGGTGGCGGTTCAATTCACTGCTGTTCTGCTGATCTAATGGACCATTCTTCTTGCAGGTGTTGGTTCTGCCATTGTGGACAACTACCTCTATGTAGTAGGAGGTCACTCCGGGTCGTCTTACCTGAACACTGTCCAGCGCTACGACCCCATCTCAGACAGCTGGTTGGACTCCAGTGGCATGATGTACTGCCGTTGCAATTTTGGTCTGACTGCCCTTTGACCAATGGCCCGTTCAGCTAGGACTCAGTAAAGCAATTTCTGAAAGAAAACTTGTTTTTTTGTTACCTGCTCTCCTGTTTTCCCCACATTCGTTCTCCAGGAGCAAATGCACACCTGAAAGAACATCTGAGCTCTTGCTTGGGTGGCTGGGTGTGCACAAATAGCTGGCTGGTTGGATGGAGGGGATCCCAGTCTTGCTGCAGAGATGTAAAAGTGTAAAGGTTGTGCAGCAGAGGGAAGGGAGGAAGATGTCTGGATGGATGATGGCGCAGGCACCTGGATACGAGTGCTGCTGGACCACTACGAGAACTTCGAGCCATGTCCCAGGGGGTTGTAGGAAACTTTTGTTACATTAGCTGACATTTATGTCCTCTATTTTACACGTCAGTACGTTTAATGCTTAAGATTTACAGCTGCATTCAGAACTATGTTACAGTTTTGTAGAACACTGCAGTTTGCTTGTGTCTTTGTGCGAACCTGTGGTTGTTGGCGTGTATGCACGGAAGGGTATGTGCATGTCGGATGGATCCGTTTTTATTTTATTTGTTTTTGTTACTTGTCCGCGTGTAGAACTAATGCTCGAGCGCAGTGAGGCGACGAGTTCTGCATTCAAATCAGTGCTTCACAGGAAGAAAACAGAGCAAACTTAGAAACTTTATATTTTCCTCAAAGGGCTGCCTTTCTCTTTTGTAAATAGTATAAATTAAATATATAGATAAATATATCCTCTAGTGCATTGCCTGTAAATGTTTATCTGCACTGGGTCACTAATGTGTGTGCGAATGTGGGTGTGATTTGATTCACGCGAGAGGGAGGAGTTCTCCCCTTAGTTTGTCGCCTATGCGTTTCTGCGTCATCCTCCATCATTTCATAAAAATGTCAACAAATTTTAAAGGTCAGGTCATGCATGCACTTGTCTCTATAATGGTTGAAACGTGTCTCAGCCAATTTTGTCCACAATATTAACTGGTGCTATATTTAGGATTCAGGACTTAGATGTTTGTCTAGGTTGCTGCACATGTTCTAGTCAGTGTATGCTTAATCTCCAGGTCATTTTTACATTTGATGCTGGGAATCTGCTTTTTGGGCATTTAAATGCACGACATCCTAAATGGCCCCTCACCATGCAATAAAATAAGTTTAGATAAAAAGGGAAAGAAAATAAAAAAAAAATTCTCATAAAGCTGCATGTTTTAAAAACTGGAATACCATCAAAAGATTAATTAAAAAAAAAAAAAGGAAAACCTTTAAAAATTTATGGAGTTATTACCCACAGAGTGATATATGTAAAGTGCTTCAGTTATATTCATAAATATTTAATTATATTCATGCATTCATTTACACTGTGTTCCAAATTCACTGAGTGATATTTTCTCCAATTTTCTTAAATGGTCAATGCAAATGATGGTCAGTATAATTTTCAAGTCAAACTGTTACAGAATAGGATGAGAAAAAGTATTCCCTCTGCCCCCCCCAAAAAAAAACCCTCAAAATGCACTGCTCCAAATTATTTTGCACTGCAGATTTTCTAAACATTTTCTAGTTTATAAAGAATTGCAAACAGTAATTCTTTGAATGTGCAGCATTAAGTGGTCACATGTACTAAAATCAAAAGCTGTTTCAATTAAAAACATCTTAACAGACCGAGTTACATGTTAACATAGGGCCCCTTCTTTGATATCATCTGCACAATTCTTGCATCCGTTGAACTTGTGAGTTTGTGGATAGTTTTTGCTTGAATTTCTTTGCAGGATATCAGAATATCTTCCCAGAGTTACTGTTTTGATATGAACTGCATCCCACTCTCAGATCTTCTGCTTGAGGAAACTCCAGAGGTTCTCAATAGGGTTGAGGTCAGAGGAGGATGGTGACCACACCATGAGTTTCTCTCCTTTTATGCCCATAGCAGCCAATGACACATTGTTATTCCTTGCAGCATGAGATGGAGGAGAGGCACCAGCAGCTTCTAATAACTGTTTGCTGCTTTGTAAGGGCATTTTAACAGCTGCTCTCTTAATCCGATGACTTTGCCTAACAGAAACCTTCCTCATTATGCCTTTATCTGTACAAACCCATCTTTGTTTGGAATCAACCACAAATCTTTTCACAGTACGACAAGGCTTCAGTTTTCGTTAAATATCTAATGTTTTCATACCTTGTCATACACGGCACTACTCTATCTGATGATTTTCGTCAGTAGAGAGATCCTTTCTCCCATATTGCTTGAAACCTGTGACCTGTTTAACCCTGTGGAACCTCCTTCTAAAGTAGATTTCCTTTAATTGAGATCACCAGACAAACTAATCCAACCAGCTCTCTGAAATTAATTACAGTGTTTGAAAGAGCCCTTACTCACAATACCATCTATAAATGTAGTAGCACAACAAAAAAATTAATCTTTATGACACTTTAATCCAATTTGCATAATAATTTGGAACACAGTGTAGTTTGTAGTATATTCAATCAGTACTTGTTTGAAGGTAAGCCTTCCTGAAAAATAAATCTGAAGCTCCATAAAACTAGCATAACAAGAAAGCACTAAAAAATGACCGACCTTTTTCCATTACATTTTTCCCTCCACTTTCCATTAACATGTTCACACATAAAGGCATAGAAACAGCCAGCATCTTTACCAATCACCTTTTGTGACTTACTCTTGTGTAGAGGGTCAGTTACTATCAGGCAAGTCAGCAATTTTCTGATGATTCTTTGAGCCACAACACGTCCTAAAAAAGTTTCTTATTTCCCATGACATTTACTATGAATAAACACTTGAATACATCACTCTGTATGTAATAAATTTAAATAACCTTTATCATTTAGAATTATTGAAATGAAACACTAAAGTTTTTAATTGCACCTGTCGGTGTTGTTTCCTTCCATGTTATGTGGCTTTTGAAGACAAAGCACCAAAGTTTTTGTGCAAGCCGACTCAGGCCAAGTTGTCCCCAAACCCACCCATCCTCAAGAGAAATGCTGCAACATATTAAGCAGCAGAGCTCTCCTCTGATAGGGAGAGCAGGTGTGCGCTGTTTTGCTGAGTCACTGTTCATTTTTAAGTCTTGTCACTTTATGTGTGCTGGTGTTTGCACAACTTTTAACCAAGCTCTCTGCATTGCACTTACCAAAATATTTGACACATATTGTCATTTGATTACCTGTTTTTTTTTTCTTTTCTTTTTTTTTTTAAGCTAATGGCATTTAGATGATGCAATAAGACTCGTTTTTTCTCTTTGGACTGAAAATGTTTTGTGTTTGTCTCTTTAAAAAGCCAAGGCATCTCACATTGCTGTAACAGAACCCCACATGGCATGTGGACATTAATGGAGCATCTGAGGGAATCTTTGACCCTTTGTCATTTTGTTCTTGTATGGGATGTGTTCATTTAGGTTACAGTTTGTCATAGATGATAGGCTGAAGTAAAACAGGTTAGCTTTTACCACATTGAGGTAGACTACAGACTTTTCCACTTTGCTTTTGTCTTCTGTGAAATTTTTGTTTGACGAAAAGTTACAATGTCATTTACTTTGCAAATTTGTCCAATTGTTCCTAATTAGTTCCTTAATGTTTGCTTCTACATATGTACTTTCCAATTAATTGAACTGAATTTGTAAGCAACCAGTTTGTAATTCTATGACAATGTTTATATTTATCCTTTCATTAGGCAAGGATCAAGACGCTAACCTCGATTAATGATTCATGGTATTCAAGCAAAAAAAGTTCACAACAAAAAATGTATCGAAATACAAGAGATTTTCTTTAAAATGGAAAAGGAGTTATTCCTACTTTTTTGCTCTTCTATTTCTTATAGAGTAGCAGAAGTACAAGAAGCTGATATTTATATCATAATTGGCTGCTTCATTATCAGTGTTTGAGATAGATTATGATTCTTGGCCCAGGGTGCCACTGTGCAAAAGGATGGCTGAGTACATGTTCAAAACAGAATTTGATAAAAATCTTATTTCAGTTGTGTTGGCACAAAAAAGACCACATACCCCCTGCGTCTATTTGAACATGAGTGATTGATTCTCCTTCAGTTACCACACAAAGATTGAGATTTTTACAAGAAGAAATTTCTCTTTCTTGTGTGTGATCCTTCTTTCAGCCATCGGTATGGCAGAATGCAGCAACAAGTAGGGTAGGGGGAAGATATACAGGAAAGTTTAGCATTGTTGAAACTAAAACCTTCTTAAACTCTTATACATCTGCAACCAGCCCATGCCCACTCGTTGTTTTATCCAGTTTTTATGGGGTCCATTGCAAAATAAGTTTTGTTCAAATTAATTTCTGCTGCCATGATTGATTGAGCATCAATTTCCTTACATTTTTGTTTGTTTGTTTATTCCTGTGGTGAATGCTGACTGCTATTGTAATGCATTTTGGAAGAAAAAGTGATGAAAATCTGCAAATGTGAATCTGGAAAAAAGAAGGGAGTACGTATGCATTTTTGCTGAGGCATAACCAACTATTTTTTTCTCTGCCATCACTCTCACCAAAGTGCTTGTACAAAGAAAGCAGATAGATGACTTTTTAACGACCTAAAGTCTGCATTCAGCTGCCAGTCTTTACATTTGTGTCTGAGAAGAAGAAAACTCCTGAGAAACTGATGTCAGTGTTAGCCAAAACGACCACTCTGCTCCTCTCTTTTTTTTTTAACCATTTCTCACAGTGTGTCTGGAGTCTCAACTTTCTTTTTCTTAATGTCCTGTGGATTAATGCTGGAAGTCAAAGATAACATCGCATACAACAAAAACTGTAGCTTTTCACGTTTTGTTTGAAGACATTTTACATACATTTTAGTCAGTTTGTGTGGTGCACTCGTACCCAGATTAAAATAAATGCCTGCCTTAAAAAAAGCCATGGTTGTGTAGTTTTTAGATTCATATGCATGTTTCGGAGAACAAAAATCTAAACAGATGTGTTCAAAAATATTTTTATTTTGTATTAAGACAACATTTGCAGGAAAAAAATAATGTCAGAGCTTTCTTGACTGAGGCACTATGTGATAACAGTAATTATTAGAGGATAAAAAAAATCTAAATATCTAACATGGAAGCTGAAAAACTGCTGAGATGGGAACATTTCAGAATACTGAGTGCTGAGTGCTTCAGACCCTGATAGCCCAAATCAATCAAGCAAGCCTTTCTGTAAGAAAAATAATTCATACCACTTAACTGCCATGTGTTTTAACATCCACAATTTGAGTATAAACTTTACAGCTTAAAAAACAGAAATTAAGTTTTTATGCCACAGTGTATTTAGAGCACCAGTTTAATTTTGGTATGCTTAAATCAGAACACTAAACTTGAGCTGGAAATTTCCCAAGTAATATATATATATAAAAAAATCATAGCTGCAAGCACTCTTCTTTTTTTAAGAAATATGCTGAGATTGAGTCATGTAAGAAATGCTAAAACTGTTTTACATACTGGTTTAAATAATGAACAAATGCAAGGTTTATTAGCAGGGAACACATCTCAGGAATTTACACACCCCCTATCAAAATGTCAAGTTTTATTTGTTTAAGAATAAAACTACAATCAGTAGTTTAAAATTTTGTTCTGCGCCTTCAAATAGATACTTCCTGTATCTATTTGAGTCAATGAAAAAACATCTGTTGGGTAGGAACTAACAAAAAGGTCACAGTGGCAATAAATGTGTCCACCTTTGACCTACCACTTCTTGAACTGCCTTTTGATAAATTTCAGTCTTAGTGTTTACAACTGCCATTAGTTATGGCAGTTGATCTAGTAAATTAGATGAACTCAAATTAAAGATAATCTGGCTACAACCCCAAAAGACTCAAAAAGCTTGGCACAAAAGCAACGCTAGACATCACCAGAAGAGATCATGCAGAAAGAAAACTTTAAGACAGAATTAAAGTTCTGTCTTGTGTGGTCTTGTGCTTTTAAATCGAGCTGAATAAATTCGTGGGAAGTTGTACGAGTCAACTTTGACTGAAAACACTCGAGATGAGTATGGATTTTATTACTCAGCATCATAATGGTCACCTGAAGCTCTGTGGACAAGAGGTACTTTGATAACCCAAAAGACTGAGAACCTTTACAATAGAGTGGGGTAATATTACTAAACTTTGGTTGTGTGATACAGAAAGGTACTTAAGAGACGCTGAAACTGAATCAAAAGTTGCATCAACAAAGTTTCAGTTTAAAATTTTTCATCTGATTTTTTTTCAAACAAATTTAATTGTTTTTCATTTGAATTGTAAAAGTACTCAACATTAAAAATAAACACTGTCATCTTTTTTAACAAAAGAAAAAACATTTAAAAAGGAGATGTGTACACTTTTAGGATCTGCTCCATATCAACCCAGAACTATTATAGTCCATTGTACTCTTGGATTCCAAGCATGCCTCCATAAAATATATAATTATCAGCATGTTTGGAGTAAGCAATCAGCTGAAAAAGAACACAAACAACTGTCTTTAGCAAACTAAGTATTCTAAGACCATAAATTATTCACAAAAGATAAAAAAAATCATAGACAATATAAAATGCCAAAAACAGGAATAATGCTGAAAAAAAAAACCCTGGATGTTTGATGTGTTCAATCAGGTGGAGCATTGTGTCCAACTGGTCACTTGTCAGATGCACGGATGTAGACCAAGGAGGAAAGCAGCAGGAGCTCCGGTGGCTTATGCAGCAAGATCAGATTATCGCTTCTCAAACCGTCATAGTGCATCCAGCAACCGTCTATCTGGAAAGCTGCCGAGTAGTGATGCTCTTCCATGTTGAAGAGTGTGGCACCCTCTAGTAAGTATCTAAGGGAAGACATGTGCATCAGATTTTTTTTGTTCTAACATAAGCTGAAAGGCCTGTAGAGGAACTACTACTGTGGATCTTTACTTAATGTTTTGTGCATGCATTTGAAAGTTTCAAGATGTGTATTGTATTACCTGAATGTGCATTGTTCTAATAATACTTTCATTCACCTGGATTTTTTGCCCGCTTTATATTTTGTGCAACAATGAACAGCAAGGGTACAAGGATGAAACAAATAAAGAGTGATCCTCTCAAATAGACATTTTAAAGAATACTGCAACACTAAATGTAGAACCAGAGTAACACTGAAGCATTTTCATCAATGGCCTAGTCAAAGACCAAACCGAAAGATTGTCGTGAACCTATTAGGTGTTGAGAACCAGTGTTCACAATCAGCCAATCAGATTGACTGCGAGCCATTTTGCAAACAATAGACAAAAACATAAGTGCTTAGCTGTGCAAATCTAGCTGAGACATACCCAAAAACCCCATCTCTGAAATTATTGAGTCAGAGGAGCTAAATAAGGACGCATGAATATTTAAAATATTTGAAGACATGCATTATTTTTTATTCCAATCCTGCACTGCTTCATACCTGTGTTGACAAAGAGCCAGGTGGTAAGGTACATAAGACAGATCCTCCGATCTCCACTGCTGCATGTTAAGGATCACAAAAGGTGGGGGTCCGTGGCAGAATACCCGTTGAGAAAACTCCCTTAAGCCATCACATCTGTGAAGAAGATATTTAACCTGTCAGATGGGTTAAATATTGCAGCACTGAATCTTAAAACAGAAAAAATGTCTTACCATAGTGTCTTACCCTAGCTCTGAGCAGAGTAGGAGTTTGGGGCTGAAAAATTCATCCACCGCTGACTGGATTGGGTGTTTGTGAGGAAGCTCATGGGGAGGGCTGGAGGGAAAGGTGAAAAGCTGAGAATAATAGGAAAATAATTATGTTTTCTAATCTTTTGCTGAATCTAAGGTACCTGACATTTATGGTGGTTTTCTTGACATTCTGAAAGCGACCCGGACAGTCACAGTTGGTGCACAGGCTCTCCTGAGTGGTAGACATGAGGTTCTCCAGGTTCTCCGTGAAGTTCTCGTGCTCGTTCCCAAACAGGTCGATCTCCATCGCTGCCTGATGAATCTCTGAGCGGTACTGTCTCTTAGACATCCTGTTCCAGATCCACAGCATCTTCACTGTGGTGTAGTCACAGGAGTCCATCAAATAGAGGAAATGCTCCACGAACTGCTTCCCCAGGAAGACCGCCACCTCCCTGTGGAAGCCCTGGTTGTCTCGCAGGATCACATACAAGATCATGAGGAAGCCATCGATGGTGCATGTGTTCTTCAGTTGGACCTCCACGTACAGAGGGATGCAGGATATGGCCTTGCGCCCTGCCTTGATTGTGAAAACGCCCCCCCAAGGGAGCACGGGCCTCCAGAAGGAGCGATCCTCCTCGTTATTGTTGTTTATGGAGGCTCGAATCTCCTCAAAAAGCGTCTTAGACCTGAACAAACGTAAACCACACGAACTTAGATAGCCTCGGTGTTACGTGAATAGACGCTCAATTGATGGGTCTGGATCGACCCTCTCGGCTAGTTTAGCACTGACGTAAACAGAGTAGTACGTGCAATCTCAAGAGTCTACAACATCCAGCCTCCAGGGACTAGTAGGACGATTAGAAACCTTGTGATTTAAACGTTGCGACTCTTTATTAAACTTACCTTTCGGTGTGGAAATTGTTCTGAGTGTTTGAGAGTCGCGAGAGTTCCTCGATGTCGTTCAAAACACCACTGAATCTGCTATCCATAGCTTTCCGTCTTTCGTCATGTCTCCCGTCACACTCGAAGCTCGATGAAATAAGAAGCTCTTAATATTTTCTAGCACTTTCTGCCGATATTTCAGGGTTGTCGTCTCCAAATGGATCCCAAACAAATCAGGGTGCACTTCGTTTGACCTACATTAACGCCGAGGCTTTTCTGACGATATTTATTGTAATCATGCATAAACACGCTACTGCCCTCTGCTGACCTTCTGCGGAGTTACACTAGTTCAATCTATATAGGATCGCTATTGCTTGGAAGAAAGCTGTAGTCTATTTAGTTGGGGATTTCATTGGCTTGCAGGAATTACGTCAGCCACCCCCTAATCTGTTGGAGATGTATAGAGTATAGATGTCCCGGGAGTGCCCCAGTCTTACGCCACAATCACCGCCATGTTGTGAGTGTCGCGCTTTTCACGAACATAATGTAATACATTGAAGGAAAAGAAAAGAAAATTAAGGAAAAGGAAAGGAAAGAAAGGAGGAGAAAAGAAAAGATATGAAAAAGGATAAATGAAAATAAACGAAAAGAAACAGTGTATATCGACGTCTACCATATTTAATAAAAATATACTCGTATATAGTGACTGTTTTTATTGTTACCACTATATACAAATTTCAAATTTGCTCATTAAGTAGACCTATAATTATATTTGATCATTTTTATTGTCAGAAAACCCGTGATTCCTGTCGATTAAAACTCAGTGTGGACGACGCGTTGTGACAAAGCCAGCTGATGTAGCATCTACTCTTTTAATTCTACGGTGTAAAAAACGTTTCTCAAATGCTATTGGTCAGAAGACATATCTAATATTTTAGGTAAGCTATTTGATTGGTACTTAAAGTAACGCCTCTCATAGTGACGTCAGCGATCTACGCTCCGTGATTGAGTCTATTCCAGAAAGTTCTACGGTTATTTTTAAGCGTAGTGCTATGTTTGCTAATGCATCAAACGTAATTACAATCATGTTTCCTTTGAATAAGCGTAATTTGGAGAGCTAGTATCACCACGCTTTCGTCTTGTTAGAGAGCGAGCCTGCACTGGTCACCATCACTTCGGACACAGACAGACCGAATATGTCAGCTCAAATCATAAGCGGGAAAGAAGTTTCAGCGTAAGTGTCAAATTTGAACTCGTATGTTTAGGAGTTTTGCGTGAGCAGAGCAAACTTTTGGCTAACTAAGCCGCTGGCATGTTGAGTTACAGTAACAGTTTTCAGTTACCGCATGATCATCTGCTCAGTTGAGTACACTATCGAAGCTTTTTTGTTGTTACTTTTGTAGTGTTTTTAAGAGTTTTCCAAAGAACAGAGACTACAAAATATTGTTTTGTTTTTCTTTATTTGGTAACTTAAAGTTGTTAAAAGTGATTCAGCTACCAATGATGGAGAGAGTTTTTACAGTGGACCCCATATGCTTTCGGCTCACGTGGGTCAGCATAAATGCATTGAACTCATGACTGTGATACTTACATTTTCCTTTTTTTATCTGATTAAATCAGGCCTTGAAAGTGTGCAGACCTTTGCAGGATTTTGTAAGATGTGTGTGACTGTGGTGGGATTCGATCTTTGTCCCCTTGCTCCACTGACCCCAAGTGCACTGATTGATAAAATATCATGCACAAGTCACTTTTGATTGATTGATTTATTTACAGTACTTGCAAACTGAGATGTTCTCTAAGGGTTACTTTTCACAAATGACTCTCACATGCAAATGGACAAATCCTTTCTCCTGCAGCAGCATGGGAGAAATTTAGCTGCATGTGCCTGTCACAAGACTTGAAAACTTGCTGCCTCTCATATCATTCATTAGTCACTTAATTTTTGGACAATATATGAAAAAGTTCTCTACTCTGAAGCTTAACAGAAGTTGTTGGACAATCTCAATACATATTGTAAGTATGATTTGTGCAGTGTGTTGTGGCTGCTTTCATTTACTTTTAGTTGCCAGTATTACTGCACATATTACAATATATTAAAAAAAAGATGATACACAACTTTATTTAGGTGAAGTCATGCACAGAAGTTGCATTTCATGTGCAGTCTTTCTGTGTCTGCATACTTGAGCTAAGCGATCAATCATTGTCTAACAAAACTCCTGCTTTTTGAATGGATTAGAAGCTAAAGTTCACTTACCTTTTTTTTTTGTCGGACTTATCAAATCCTCTGGTGTAATTGACCCTGTCACTTAACTCCACAAAGTGCTGGAATGTTTCCCAGTATTCAGACTATGAAACAGATAAAGATAAAGATAACATTCACACTAGATCATCCTTTGGAAAGGCCACTTTGTTGTGCAACCAGATTGGCAGCATAGAGAAATCATTGGTTTAAAAACACAATAACCACAATGCATCTGTCTTGTATGAACATCTGTTAGAATTTGGAGGAATAACATGAATGATATGGCCTTTTTGTCTTTTTTACTTAGGCAAGTGAGGGAGCAACTGAAGAAAGATGTGGAGCAAATGAAACTCAAAGATCCCAACTTCAGGCCCGGCCTGGTTGTTTTACAGGCAAGATTATTTTCGACAAACAAAAATTGGTCCTTTTTTTGTCCCTTTTATTGACTTTATGTGCTAACATAAATACAGACTGTACATAGATACATTTGCATGAGCATTGTCCCTGTATACTAGAAATTATGAGGTGATACTTTTATGTTATGGCAGGTTGGAGGTCGTGAAGATTCCAATCTGTACATCAGCATGAAGCTGAAGGCAGCAGCAGAGGTAATATCTGATTATCTGTCAGATTGTTGATTGAAGGAATGGCTTTGAGTAGCTGTTTCCAATTTGAAATGTTTAAAGAATTTTATTCTAATTTGCAGATTGGAATAAATGCAATACATCTGAAACTTCCAAAGACTGCAACTGAAGAAGAGGTAAAATTGATATTACATTCTGAAGTTGCACAGATGCAGCGCGGTAGTCACTCTGCAATTGATACTTTTTTGAATAATTAGTCTAAGCACATAGTGTTTCACCATAAAATGTATTTATTCATTTATTTATGTATTTATTGAGTTCTGTTTTACTAAAATAATTTCATACATCCCACAGAATAATTTTTATTAGTCTCAATTACATTGCTAGCCTGCCTCTTCCAACAAGAAAACAATAAATAAAATTATAAGTTTTGTATTTATGTTATAAATGAAAAATTATATATATTCAGTAAATCTTGAAGTAAAAAACAATATTGAACTGTGAAATAACAAAAACAGGCTTCAGTTCTGTAAGAGTATTTTGATTTAAAAGGACATGTGTTTGTAATACACTTTTTTTAGTTGAAGGTTTGATTTAGTCAATTATCATCTGAAAATAGAAACAGCCAGTGTGGAATGGATTGTGGAAATTTACCTTTCAGCAGGACAGTAACCCTAAGCACACAGCTGAGCTTCAATATAATAGTTAACATTAAAACATATTTATGTTAGAAGTCAATATTCATACCTTAATCTAACTGAGAATGTGTGGAAAGGATATTCAGAAATGCAAAAACGGTGGTTCCACAAAGCATCAAATAATTCACATAGGTCTGTCTTGTAAAATCCTTATTAAATACAAGTGAATTTTATGAGCTCAATCTACACAATGCATTGTCTAGTTAAAAATTTATTAGTCTCTAGATTCATTATAATTTTATAAGTGGTTTTCTTTTGTTTCAAGCCTCATGTTTCTTTTAAAAAGACAATCCTGAGACAGGATTTCAATAATGTTTTGCTGGCAGGTCCTTCATAGCATCAGGGAAGTGAATGAGAATTCATCAGTCCACGGTCTCATAGTGCAGCTGCCTTTAGATTCGATCCACAAGATCAACACAGAAAAGGTCACAAATGCCGTTGCACCAGAGAAAGATGTGGATGGGTAAGAACTGACATAAATTTCATGATAAAAATTTTCTGATGGAGTTCATTTTATGCTAAATCATAGATAGAGTCAATCATAAGTCTCATTAAAGTTCTTCTTGATTCAGGGAGATAAATGTGGTATGATCAGTACTTTCTGGCTTCATCTCAGGCTGACCAGCATAAACGCAGGGAAGCTTTCTCGTGGAGATCTGGGCGACTGTTTCATCCCTTGCACACCAAATGGCTGCATGGAGCTGATCAGACAGACAGGTTGATGCAGTCATGAAGAAAACTCTCACAGGAGTAGTTTTTGCTGTAAAATCATACAGACGACATGCAGACGAGTGAATGTGGGCTAAATGCAGTGACGTCGTCTTCTCTGCAGGTGTGTCTGTGGCAGGGAAAAGAGCTGTGGTGATTGGTCGCAGTAAGATTGTGGGTGCGCCCATGCATGATCTGCTGCTGTGGAATCATGCTACCGTCACCACCTGTCACTCTAAGACTGCAGATCTGGCCGGAGAGGTACGTTTTAAATATCAGCATGTTTCTTGTTATTACCTTTCTCAGTTTCACATCTCGCATCAGATATTAGATGGCTTTTTGGTTTGCAAATATTGCAGACGCCTGCTCCAGCAGTTCCTGCATTCTTTTTCTGAAAGTTTTCTCTGCTGACTTCTTTGTGCATGTGTTTTGTTTTCTTTTTTGTTTTTTTTTACTTGCAACACTACTGTTTGTATTCTTGTCCAGGTGGGTAAAGCAGACATCCTGGTTGTTGGCATGGGGAAAGCAGAGATGGTGAAAGGAGAGTGGATCAAGAAGGGAGCGGTGGTCATCGACTGTGGGATAAATTATGTTCCAGGTCTTTTGTTAAGGTTCAAAATCGTCTGAAATTAAGTGACAACTTGAACAGTTGAGGTGACACATTGTTTATTTTTTTTAGATGAGACCAAGTCTAGTGGGAAGCGTGTGGTCGGCGATGTACACTTTGCCTCAGCCAAAGAGCAGGCGGGCTTCATCACCCCTGTGCCTGGAGGAGTGGGACCAATGACTGTGGCCATGCTGATGGGGGTAAAGTTGAATCTTTTATTTTTGTCAAGTGAATTTTCCCAAAGGTCATATCATTATACCATCCACATTTCTTAAGATTTAAACTAAGTAAGTGTGTCTCTTTTTTGTTGATGCGGTTAGAATACGGTGTTGAGTGCAAAGCGATTCCTTGAGAGCCATCAGGCTGGGAAGTGGGACATTTCTTACACCAAGCTCAGCCTTCAAAAGCCTGTACCAAGGTTTGTTTTGTTTATCGTAACTTTTTCTGTAAGGTGTCATGATAAAGTATTCGCATACCTTGAACTTTTTCGCATGCTGTAACCAACATCTTGAATATAGTTTATTGAAATTTGATGTATTTATACCAATGCTAAGTGGTTTTGATTTGTAAATTGGAAAGAAAATCCACCCATCCCAACCTTCACTTTGACGTCTCTTAAACCCAGAGCAAACAATTATTCTTAGAATTGCCTACCTAATTAGTAGGTCTAGTTTATTGCGTGTAATGATAAAAATCTCCCTGTCTTGTGAAAAACTGATAATGGCATGCCATAGAAATTTGCCAAAGTAGTTGGATTTAAAGAAAATTAAAAATGTATTTAGAAAGTACTGACCCTGAAGCGTAGCTTTGTTCTCTACTTAGCTGAAAATATGTGTATGGCTTTTAATTCTTCAACAGTGACATAGTGATTTCTCGCTCCTGCATTCCGAAGCCAATTGATCGTCTGGCCAGAGAGGTAGGCCTGCTTTCTGATGAAGTGGAGTTTTACGGAAAAACTAAGGCCAAAGTCCAGCTGAGCATTATCAAACGACTGCAGTCCCAGCTGGATGGGAAATATGTGGTGGTCACAGGGTATGTGTTCCTTCTGGACTGAAAAGCAAACAAATGTGCCAAACTTTAAAAATACTTCCGTTAAGTAAATTAGCATGTGTTATTCTGCCCATGAAACTGTTTAATTTTCTTTCACTTTAATATGTATTAATTGGTTGAAATGTTGTTTTATTGTGATGCAGTATTACGCCCACCCCACTGGGTGAAGGTAAGAGCACCACAACAATCGGCCTGGTTCAGGCCCTGGGAGCCCAGCTGAAGCTTAATGTGTTTGCCTGTGTCCGCCAGCCTTCTCAGGGACCAACCTTTGGCATTAAAGGTGAGCATTAGAAGAACACAAGAAACCCCGAAGTCCTATTGGCACCACTTTTTAATTTATTTGATCACATTTGCATAAACTTACACTGAAATCACACATTAAAAAAAATGTTTTCTTTCCAAACTCGCCAGTGTCACTGAGGTTGACATCGCCATCTATTTTCTGAAAATAAATACACCTTCAACACTTTTGAAAATTTGAACTTATTTATGTTAGTAATTTTCTTTATTTTATATTAGTCAAAGCTTTATATTAAAAAACTATGAATTCCATTTTGCCCTGCCTTATTAATATGATGTGGCTCAGAAGCCCTTTTCTATGAGCCACTCTTCAAAATTGGAAACACAAGAGTACATTAAACTTTTCAGCTACAGAAAGTTCCTAGTCATGAAACAAAGGACGAATAGGACCATTGTTAAGAACGGTGGAGGATCTGTCATACTGTGGGATTCTTTCTCTTCCAAAACTTCCTGGGATCATAAAAACTTTCAACTAAAAGGGCATTTTAAATTTAGATATGATTGCTCTGTATCAGAAAATGAGAGCTGATAACCTCTGGATCATTACATTTTAATAAAGATTTAAAATATAAGGTAAACCAAGACAGAAATGGTGACCCTTCTTTAACCATCTTGACCTCCAGACAATCAAAGACAACAAAGGACAATTCAAAAGAATGATCCTTTTTTGCTGTGCAGATTGTATTTATAATAGTCTTTCTTCTCAACAGGTGGTGCTGCAGGTGGTGGATATTCTCAAGTCATTCCGATGGAGGAGGTACTTTACACATTTTTGAAACATTATTGAGTTGGTAGAAAAAATTTGTGTTTAGTTAATAAAGTTTTATTTTATCCAAAGTTTAACCTCCATCTCACTGGAGACATCCATGCCATCACAGCTGCCAACAACTTGGTAGCCGCTGCAGTCGATGCACGCATGTTTCATGAGGCAACGCAGTCTGACAAGGTGGGTTTTCACTTCTGTAAATGAGGGGTAAAATCATAACAATTGTCAATTAATAACAAGATGTCCCTTTTTCCCCTTTACTCTCACTCAGGCTCTATATAATCGCTTGGTCCCACTCAGTGGAGGGCAGAGGACGTTCTCCCCAGTCCAGATCAACAGACTGAAAGTAAGGGATTACATTACATACTCCTCAACTTTTATTTATACATGAAGCAATTCTGACTCTTAATTTGTTATTGTTGATGTAGAAATTGGGTATAGAGAAGACTGATCCTTCAACTCTCACTGATGAAGAGATCACTCGCTTTGCACGCTTGGATATTGACCCAAGCTCTGTAACCTGGCAAAGAGGTCTGAAATGTCTTCATCAATCTTTTTTCCCCTAAGATTTCACTTTTTTTTCTGTATCAAACCTTGTGTTTAAATCTCCACTGGATAATTATTCCTCTGCAGTGTTGGACACAAATGATCGGTTCCTGAGGAAGATCACCATTGGCCAGTCGCCAACCGAAAAGGGTTACACAAGAGAGGTGAGATTCTGACAAGTTTTGATAATGGCATTGAATAAAAAACTAAAAAAGGGACCACTTTTAAAAAAAAAAAGTCAACAGCTGTTTTTGATCACAATGTGTGGTGCAGGCTCAGTTTGACATCACAGTTGCGAGTGAGATAATGGCGGTCCTCGCCCTCACCAGCAGCCTGGAGGACATGCGACAGCGCCTGGCCAAGATGGTCGTAGCCACCAGCCGCAGAGGAGATCCGGTCACCACCGAGGATCTGGTCAGTGCTTCTTAATTATATTGTGGCTTCTCATTATAAGAACTGTGCAGGGAAAAAAGTTTTTCTTTTTTTGATAGAGCGCTGTTTTGTTCTGCAGGGAGTCAGTGGAGCTCTCACTGTGCTGATGAAAGATGCCATCAAACCAAACCTGATGCAGACACTGGAGGTCTGTTTAACTACAACTTAATCCTTGTGATGCTTATCTGTTAAAGCTACAAATAGTTCCTCTGAATCTGCAGGGAACGCCTGTTTTTGTGCATGCTGGCCCATTTGCCAACATCGCCCATGGAAACTCATCCATCCTGGCTGATAAAATTGCTCTGAAGCTGGTTGGACCTGAGGGCTTTGTTGGTAAGATGAATTTATTATGGGTGACACCATGGTGCAGTTGGTAGAAACGATGCTTTGAATGTAAACATTCATCTGCTTACATTCATGAATGTGAATTTTGCGTTGATAATAAAATGGGCCGAAAAGATCCAACATCTAATTAAAACATTTACCCCGGTAGATTATCTGTTTTTACATTATTACACTGCACCGCTTAAAGCTGCAATACTGCTCTTAATATTTTGTCTCACAACCTCCATCAAACAGTGACAGAGGCTGGTTTTGGTGCTGATATTGGCATGGAGAAGTTCTTTAACATCAAGTGCCGCTACTCGGGCCTGAGGCCCCATGTGGTAGTACTGGTGGCCACGGTCCGAGCCCTGAAGATGCACGGAGGAGGACCAACAGTGAGTCACTTATTTTGGGATTTAGGTGATGTCGTCTTCATTCTGTTCATATTTCACCTTTTGGGTAAAAAAAACAAACAAAACATTTTATACAGGTTACAGCTGGGATGCCACTGCCAAAGGAATACGTGGAGGAGGTAAGGCTGAGAAACAGCAACGAGCAAAACATTCAAGTGTCAGTCCGCTCTGTGCAGTCTGTACATATTCTTTCACTCATACTTGATCAGACATAGGCTTGTCACAACAAGAAATTTTGCGTGACAATAAATTGTCCGAGAAATTATAACAATAAACGATAATATTGCCAATTTGAGACCATTTTCATCTAATGTAAGGGAAGTACATTATCTCAAAGATCAAGAAACTTTAAATGTTATTTAGAAATTAACAATGGAACAGTAAGGAAATTTAAGTAGGCCTTTTTAAAAACATTTTTACATCTGTGCAGAACCTTGAACTTCTGAAGAATGGCTGCAGCAACATGAGGAAACAAATAGAAAATGCCAAACATTTTGGCGTGCCGGTTGTGGTGGCTGTCAATGGTTTCAAGTGAGCATAACATGTTGCAGTTTCATTACTACTGCAGATTAAAATGTTTCATGCTTGTATTTAGTATGTTCATCTATTTCAGGACAGACACTCAGGCTGAGCTCGACTTGGTCTGTAGCATGGCCAAAGCTGCTGGAGCCTTCGATGCTGTGCGCTGCTCCCACTGGGCTGAAGGTGGCGCTGGTGCTGTGGCCCTAGGACAGGCTGTTCAGAGGGCCAGCGAGGCTCCCAGCAACTTCAAGTTCCTCTATGATTTGGATGTATGACTCCAACCCACATTAAATTTCGCTAGTATTCTTGTGCTTTCCTTGTTTTTAAACAATGGAAGAACTGGAGAACTAGACTACCTAATAATAAATTTTTAGCCTCTCGAATACCAAGATCTTACTTTCAGATTATTCCTTTTAACATTTTACAGAAAAACAAACAAAATGCATTCGTATGGAGATCCTCTACCAGAAAAAAATGTTGATTTTCTGAGTTGATTTAAATGAAATTTGAGCATTTCAGTCATGACAGACCTGATTCTAGTTGTTTTCATACATTATTGTGAAGGTCCTAAACATAAACAACATAAACATAAGACATAAAGAAAAATGCTATTTTTGTTTATGTTTCAGCTCCCAATTAGTGAAAAGATTCGAATAATTGCTCAGAAGATCTACGGAGCAGATGACATTGAACTTCTCCCGGAGGCCCAACACAAGGTGGAGCTCTACACCAAGCAGGTCAGCACGCCTCAGGGTGGAAGTTTTCTTGTCACTCCTATTGATCAACAAAGGGAAATCTGTACAGAGAAGATTATGTTTTGTCTTTTGTTTCAGGGCTTTGGAAATCTTCCCATTTGCATGGCCAAGACACACCTGTCCCTCTCTCACGAGGCTGAGAAGAAGGGCGTGCCGAAAGGTTTCGTCCTGCCCATTCGAGACATCCGAGCGAGCGTTGGCGCAGGCTTTCTTTTCCCATTGGTTGGCACGGTAGGCTCACAAACCTGATCAAACAGGCTTTTTGATCAGGGACAACAGTGCGTACTTTGCAAAACAACCCAAATTTATATCACAGTTTTCTGCAAAGCTTCTGCTTGCAACAGCAGCAAAAAATCAGTAATTTGCTTTGATAAAAATCATGATCATATGACACTAGAAAGATACAACATAGAGATTTAAAGTTGTCTATTACTATTTAAGTCTCAATAAGTATGGAAACCCATTTGCATGTCTTGCAAATTTCTGATTGATTTTGCATGATGTTTTTTTCCCCACCCCTAAAAATTATAAGAGAGTTGAAACTTAAATGCAAGCAAGCTACTGAAATAAATTAAAAATGTTGGTTCTGCAGATATCAGGCATGAGTTATGTTGTTTTAAGAGTTTAAATAACATTGAAAACTGTTTCAGGATGGTTGTATTTTGTTTATAAGTTTCTTTTTAGACAGAATGTATTTTCTCTTCAGATGCCTACAATCCCAGGTCTGCCCACCCGGCCTTGTTTCTATGATATTGACTTGGACCCTGAGACCGAACAGGTCAATGGACTTTTCTGAAGAAAATCCATCCTCTCTATATGACTGAGGTAATACAGAATGCAAACAGAAGGCACTTCATTCTTGTTTGACAGGAAAGAGTTAGCAGTGGTTAAATGTCTTTCTTTCTGCTCCCTTGTCCCTCTCAGAGCCCATAGAAACACCCATCAAACCCCACAGAGCCTTAATAAACACTGGACGAGTTCTAACCTGAGGCGCCTCAAGCTGCTTCCATCCTGTCGTGTGATTGAGCGTCTTTTTCCTGGAAGATGCTTACATGAATTGCCGATTCAAGGAATATCATTTCAGAACGATTTTTTCTGCAATTACAAAACAGTAATTTCAGAGCAACTAGTACCTGGTCTGTGATGGACCTTTTTGCTGGAACAAATAATCATATGGACATTTTTCATTAGATTATTTTTGCCTAATCTAACACATTTCATATCTTAGAACTCCTAAATCAAGAAACACAACCTTTCAATCCTTACATTAGCTCTCTGTTTATATTTGTTAACACTACATCGAAGGCGAGTTCTCTAGTTTCTTTTTATTAAAGAGTAATTGTCTCTTTTTTAAAAAAAATATACTGTACTTGCCATTTAAATCCTAAATGTAAATGTGAAACTGTCTTTAAAGACTTTATGTCTAGTAAATTTGTTGATATGAGCAAATTGGTTTTTTGTTGGCTGTAAATTTTTTCACTAAGCTGACTATCAGTTTGTATTTGATACTGTTATTTAATTTTTTTTTATTAAGCTGGGGATGCATTTACTAAACCCTCTGATAATAGTAGCAAATACAATACAATTTTATTATGTATTTATTACAATATATAACAATAGGCTGGTATCACGTGACACTGATTCATTGGCATTTTCATTCATTTGAGACTGCTGCCATGTTTCCTGTAGGTATTCAGTACAATACAATTTAAAAAAAGAAAATATTACTTTTTATGAGTGTTTTACAAACGTTATCATTCCCTACCAGAACAAAACTTTGGATACACCTGTCATTGCCTCGAGGCGTTCATACGAAACAAACGTAGGTCTGAAAAGTGACCGTCAGGTGATGTAGCTAGTACAGATAAATCTATCTCTGACAGACAATGGGAACTCCTTCCTGACACACCCAATACTGTGCAGCCTTAATTTCCAGAACTGCATGCGAGTTAACAGAAAAAAAGAGAACTCGCACGCAGCGCTTCAACCCATTCCACACTTGCAAAGGCGTTACAAAATGCCTTTGCAAGTCATTCCAGTCCAAATATGAAGATACAGTCAAGCAAAGATAATTAGTAGCCAACAGTTGCCTTATTTTTCACACATGCACAAACTTGATTCCGCTGCTGACATCATTGTTATTGTTCAACTTCTAGTTTTGTGGGTGGTGCTCTTTGATGAAAAGGAGCTACAGCATTAGAAAACAGGTTTGATTGCACAAGTTATGATTGTAATTTTGAGTGAGATGCGGTTTTCTGTGCCATGTAAAGAATTTGTTACATTTCTCATTTGAATTTAGAGATAAAAACCGTTGACATTGTGACTCATGCATATATTGTAGCTGTGGGGATAGGTTTACTCTCTTCACCTCTCTTCAGGTGAACATCAACAAGTCTTTTGCAGCCAGAACTTGTCTTGCTGAAGAACAGAATGTCCACAGCAGGACGGTGCCACATCCAGGTTTCATATTTGAATGATGGATAGATTCTCCATAGATCCGGTTGGAAAACTGCAAGCAGGATTTTGTATGAATTTCTTTAAGAACTAGTTTTTGCCTTTGTTGTTAATTGTGATTATTATCCACTTGCAGTTAAAAACATAACTGGGATTACAATATTGCATCAGACCAATAAAAAGCATGGAGATGTGGGTTTAATGAAAACTACCTGCTTAAACATTGTTAATTTCTAAAAGTGCTTTTAATCTGACCAACTAGGAGGCATATTCTAATTTATTTAATGTGTCTGAACAGCCCTGATAAAAGTATTGAAGTTTACTTGCATGACAACTTCTAAAAAAATGTAAGGGATATGAATATTTTTGCTGTAGACAAAACCACACATTTGAGTTAAATTCCGGAAGCAGATATGTCTGGCTTGCAAACCTGTCCAAGATGAAAACTAATCAGTTCCCTCATTGTAGGTTTGGTTATTATTATTATTACCATTATCACACAGCTTTTCTTGTTTTCTACTCATTCATAAACAAAAAAACACCAGATGCATACAAATAGTCACACTTTTTTTCACAGAATTATCTTTTCTTGTTTTTCTTACATTGACATTAGTGATTACATCTTTTGCCTAGAGAATATTTTTCATATGTAAGCTTTATTTTAGTTTCATTCTCACTGATGTTATGCAGTTTTATAATGATCTGTCTTATTCTATTGTACTTTGATAATAGTGTTCTTTCTTCAAGATAAAAGATCAGTTTGGAAGGGAATTAAAGAGCCAATCTTATGTTGTAGATTATTTAATGAGGAATGCAATACAATCATACATTAATCATTTTGACCAAATCATGAATTTTCATCATTTTATTTAGGGTCGCCTCAGTGGTCTCTTTCACTTGCCACCTCTTTTACTTTGACCACCTCCTCTTCCTCCCTGTCCATGACCATGACCGTGTCCTTCTCCTCCAGGACCATGTCCGTGACCTTTCCCCTTTTCTTTCTGTTTCCCTTTGCCCTTTAAGCAGCCATAAAAATGCAACAATTTTACAAATGGAACAAAAATTAAAACTGGTGTCACTTAAATTCCAAGAAGTTAAGGTTGTACCTGTCCGCCCTCCTGTGAAAGACACAACACACACACATGAGTATAACAAGATTATCATTAATCAATTACATAAAACTTTATAAAAATTTAGCAACTGTCAGGAGAAGTAATCTCACTCCATCAGATCCTGATCCCTCCTGCACCTGTGCCGGTGACAAAAATAAATGGGTAAATAAATATATACAAATATATATTTTGTTTATAGTGACTGATGAAAGTAAAACTAACTTACCTGTTCTGGCTTTTTTGGTTCTATTTTGGTAATAGATTGAAGGCAAAAAGAGGGTGACAAATTAGTATTTTAACATGAATTAGCATTAAAACTCAGCACATCATCCTAAAATACAAATAGCATAGAAATTACTGCTTGCAGCATCTTACTTCATATGGGTAAAAACAGAAAAAAAAGAAAAAGTAGGAGTGTGAGGATTAGCTAACTTTCCTTCAAGATAGCATTTATCTTTCCTTCTTTTTTTCTAAATACCACTAATTAATTTCACAATTAATTATCTCATTAATATTTCACAATCAAGGAGACTTACTATCGCTCATTTTGGCTTGATGATGAAAGTAGAACACAATTGTTTTCCTATTAAAAACCAAGACAAAGTATGCAAGAAACTCAGCAGGAGAAAAAAGACAACTGCAAAAAATTTAAGATTCAAACTCCTTGCAGTCAAGGTTTAATAATCATCCGGTACATACCTGAGCTCAAGATGAAATGAATATGTGCCTAAAATCAGTTTTGCAGCTAGATTTATCTGGTGGTTTTTGAGCTGATAAGTGGGTGTGTTTTTGGAGTCCTGCCCTCTTATGCCCAAATATGTCTCTTAGATAGATGCAGAACAGGTAAGACTTGAGTGTGGCTGTAAAAAAACAGACACTTTTGCCAGGTTTAACGACAGCCCAAATGCACAATTTAGAGCCTTTCTCAAACACCCGAGGGCTGGGCAAGTCCTCGTATTTGCTTTGTTTTTAGATCTGTCCAAACCAAACAACCTAAACTATTGTAAAAACAGCCACACCTGCAAAACGATGACGGTTTGTGTCATCAGATACTCCACAATATGATGCATTTTGTTCTTCATTAATTGCAGGTGAGCAATTACCCAGATTGAAGGTGAATGGTGCCCTTTAAAATTAAACATGCCAAAGAGATTTGATGTTCACAAACTGAATAAAGGGAGTCAGTTTGTGAATTTCTTCAAACTGTGTTCCAGGGAATCTATTTTCAGTGTCCATTCATACTGTTTAGGTTTGACCAAACAGCATGAAGAAACCTAAACATTTCTCCTGTCAAACCTTTCATTTTCACCATTTTAAATTTCACACTCAACGTAATCAAATGCAATGCAGAGAAAAATAACTCTTCATATTCCTAAATAATAGTCATTAAATATTAAGTTAGTTGGTGATCTCTATTCATATTTTTTTGTGCAATACACACTGTGTTCAACATAGGGAGGGATCCACTTCACATTAACAAAACATGCAACGAGCAATGCAAAACATCATCAGAATGTGACTGACAGAAAATTTTTGTTTTGCTTTTGAGCACTTGCAGCTCTCCCAGTCGCAATGTTGCTCTGGGTGGTAAACCTTTTTGCTCGAAACAAAAGTCTCTGTTGGCCCACCCAAAATGTAAGGTGAACTTTTTATTACACTGTGCCTTTAATAGAGGACATGCAAAGAAGCAATGATAACATAATTATGAGCTGAATGATAACATTTCCCGCTGGCTGAGCCACTTGAGGGAAGAAAATCATATTGAAAATGCAGTAATTGCTGCGTATTCACATTTATAATCATGCATAATTATTACTTCAGACTTTTAAAAGAAAGTTATGGCAATATTTGAAAAAGGCTTCACTTCACTGGGTCAGTAGTTGACTGAGCCAGTTTGCTTATTGATACTCAATATCAATTAGCAAATGTGAAATACAACAAAAACATAATGTTAAAAAAGTTACGCTTAAGACTCACAGAAGAATACAAACACAGTAAAAGATGTGTCTGAGTCAGAATAAACGGGCGCGTCCCATTTTTTTAATGTCTGGTATCAAATTAATTAATCCTGCTTTAGGTAAGTATCATCACCAAAAAACTCCGACTTGCTAAAAACCAGAATCAAAGAGATTTTTTTGTAGACTTTTTTTTTTCTTTGTTGCAGTGTAGATGTTTATAACCACCAGATTTTCCATGGATATAAATGATTTAATTTTTAGAGGCACAAAAAAAGAAAAGGTGTGTAATACTGCATTATATTTATTCAGTTCCAATGTGAAAACTGTGCTTCTGAAAGTGCTTTTACGGCTCTGAACAGTTTTCTTGTACTTGAGTAAAATTATTTAAAAGTTATTTCATTTTTGGCTATACTTCCTATGTCTTTGCTCTTCCCACGCCTTCACTACATGGCACCTTAAGAAGCCTTCAGATACCAGGTACACTTGTTTGAACTATTATGAGCAAATTCAAACATTCAGCAAGAAAGAAGCAATTACTCTATTATAATAAATTATCTTCTGTATGCAGTCAGTGAAAACCCCCCCACAAACTTCTAAATTTCTGGACACACCTTTGATTTGAGAACACGGGGATGGCAGTGCCATATTTTCTGGATATTTTTCTGCAGAAGGGACTGCTGCACTTTACAAAATATGGCAAATGAGGAAAGAAAAATATATGAAAGCAACCTTTCAAAACATCAACAAGGAACATGGGGCTTGAGTCCAAAAGGGTCTTGCAAATGCACAACGAACTCAATCCTACAGCCAAATTGGTTACACAGTGGTTTGGGAACAACAACAAAGTCGATGAATTGAAGGGGATTATGCCAAATGTCAGCTAATTACAAGAAAACTTTGGAATTTGAACAATTGTCTCCATCTTTTTATCCTGACATTTCATTTAAAAAAAATATTTTGGTGATTCTGTCTAAAGTAAAACAGGAACAGTTTATTTGGACTTGATATCAGACAGCATGGCTGAAACTAGTTGAACTTGTTGTCACATGTCAGTCGTCTTCTTGAGTGTTTACAATAATTATAGATCATAACACAGGATCCTCCCTCCCCTTTCTTTGGGTATTCATTTAAAACTAAGTCTGACAGTAGTCGGTCAGGTGGACAAAGTAATGTGCCTGGAGACAAACAGTTTTGTTGACTGCTGAGTGGAGAGTTGTTTTCTCTCTGTTGGACGCACCCTTTGTGACCAGACAAAAATGTCTTCTTAAGCAACATAGAAGTTTGAAACATCGCGATTCTGGTATTAGTAGGTTGCAAAGCTGTTCTAACTTTATGATGTCAAAGTAGTTAAAGACGAATATGTCTCTCGCTGTTCAACTGCTCCTTCTTTGAGCAATGTGGGCAGGACAAATAATAACAAAGCTTCTTGGAAAATGCTGTTATGACTTGACTTGTTTGTATCTAGCCAACATTGGCTGCCGTTGTTCTCCTTGCTGGAGCTATAAATTGTATCACTGATAACAACAAAAACCTGACAATGAAGAGTTTAGATCAGGGGAATTGTACTGTTTGTCATGCTTCTCATCATTTTTCATCTCCCATCTTCCCAGCCCTCTCTGAACCTCTTGAAGATGGTGTCTGCTTCTTTGCACTGATGATTTATGACTAAAATAACTAAATAACCAGATAATCTCTAATAAAAAAGAAAACCAATTCAGTTACCACTTAAAATTTTGACTGTCACTAATTTATAAAATGTGTTTACCTCCTGAAACAGTTATTCTGCCTTTTGCTTTCCTGTCACAATAATAAGTTTTATTATTAGACACAGATAACCAAAGTCAAAGCAAAATGCTGCTTTCAGAAGAGGATTTTCTTTTATTGAAATTCCCTTCAACCTGTCTGCCCCTCTGTGATTAAACACTTGTTCCACAACGTAATAACTGGTAGTGCCACTTTTTGTAACGGCAACTGCCATCAAGTGTTCGTAGTAACTGGCGATGAGTCTTTCACATCGCTTTGGAGGAATGTTTTTAAAATTTATCCTCTCTGAATGTTTTTTTTCCCACCATGAACTGCTTCTTCTCAGTTTGCGAACTTTGTCGTCTTGTCCATCCACAGAAGGATTTCTCTAAAGTCTTGGGGATCATCAAGGTTTTCTTTCAGAAAACTGGTTTGGTGCCCCGGTGTTGTTTTCCACCTGCAAGCTTTTTCCCATTGGAACTCTCACTTTGAGTCTTTCTTTGTAATCTTTAAATCACAAACTCTGGTCTTAACAAAGGCGATGAATCCTAGAATGCTTTACATGTTTTTCTGAGTTCTTTTGTGGCCTCCTTGATGAATCGTAGATGTCCTCATGGAGTGATTTAGGTAGATTGACCACTCCACTGATGAATCCTGGGAAGGTTAATAAATGTTCCATGTTTTTTGTTATGAAGAATGGCTCTTATTGTGGCTCAGTCAAAAAGTTAGTTACATTGTAACTTTACAAGTCTTGTGTTTCATGCAGTTTGATTGAAACTGTATGTAGAGGTCTGTAGTACTTCTAAAACATTTGTTCAATAAGTAGAACATGAAATATTCAGGTGGAGGCCAATATCAACAACATAGAAATGATCAGACAAATTAGGAAACTGCCTGATTGTTTGAGCTGAGTATAGAGAAGAAATAGGATAGACTCCAAGACTGGACCTTGTGGTGCCCCACATGCAGACTCCAGGAGTCAGTCATTATCTAGTTAGAAAATACACTTACAAATACATCCTGTCAGAACGGTAAGAGTTCAACCATTCAAGAGCTGCACCTCCTAAGCCGACTAGAACTAAAACTTGTTAATCAAGAAACTGTTATTTACAGTATCAAAAGGAGGTGAAAATTTCAGGACAGTCTTTCTCAAACTGTGGTCCCCGGGCCACTGGTGGTCCTCCGGCGACCCCCTAGCGGTCAGGGAGGTACTGCATATAAACTACCATTTATTTGCCGTCACGTGAGCTTGAAGTGCAACGATACAGCTAGCTTACCAAAGGATTGCGTTAAAAATAATGACAGGAAACTGACTTAAAACCGGGTTAATATAGAATATTAACCTGGTTATTATAATATTATATGATCAGAGGAATATAAGTCATAGCTGCTGAGTTTTGATGTGTCGTTCTGGGACTGGATTCCTTCGAATGGGTCTGTGCAGTGGGTAGGAGTCCACTCAGTCAGGCAGAGCTGTTCTTTGTTGCGTTTTAATTTAAACTATGTCACTGAAGCTCTGGCTTGGTGGTAAACCTAATCTGTCTGCAGGAGAGTGGATCTCCTCCACAACCACAAACCTTTTGTTACCTTGAACATGATCAGGGATCATATCAAACTCTGCACATTTCCCCTTCAAATTTGGCTGTCTTCTTTGTCTTTGATAAAATAAAATGAATAAAATGAAATATTTATATTTCATTTTAAAAACGTATCTTGTGTGGCTTGCTCGTTGCTAGAAAAAAAGAAAAGAGAAAGAAACTTCTGTCCTCTCCTTAAAAACAGTTTTTTTTGTCTTTGGTGATCAAATGTTTTTTTTTTTTTTTTTGTTAAGAAGCTTTTTCATAGTTCAATTCAGAATACATCAAATATCCATCCAAATAATTGCCAATATGTTTTTGTATATATTTTTCAGGTTTGTTGATGGAAAAGGATCTGACGCCATCTTGTGGCCATTAAACAGCATTATATTTGATCAGTGACGTAAGCTTTTTGACTGTGATATTTTGCTTTATTTACCTTATGATTTTGGCCAAATTACTGTCTCCCCTATGGAAGCAGGTGTGTATGTTATACATTGATTGTTGTACTTTGTCGATACCGTAAAAGACAATTTACTTGAGCAACCATTGAACATAATTACAAAAGGCTGAGAAGAGATACAAAATGATTTAAGTAAGATTTTCTATGCAAGTGACAAGCACTGGAGGCCAGAGTATCCAGAGATAATCCATCCATGCGCAGAAAATTAGAACACCTGTTATAATTCATATTTTCAAACCTTGCACTTTGTTGCTGTTTGCTGCAGTGAATTACACTGATTTCGTCTTTAGTGATCTTTAGGCCTTAACATGCCTCAAGACTACAGCTTATGTTTTAATAAATATTCTACATAAGCCTTTGAATAACTCTGATATTAGTATGCTAAAATGTGACTGATGCTTTTTCTCCACAAAATCTAATTACATGCTGATTTAGAGGCATATCTGTTTGTTTTTGTGATAAACATTTAATTCTTATTTTTTGTTTACAGAATGGAAACACTAGTAAGGAGTTCCTTTCCTCTGGATCCCATGTGTTTGGGAAACCTTTTCACTGTCTGCCTGCAGTCAGGCACTTAAAGGAGACGCAGCAGCTGAAACCGCATGCAAACAGAGAATGGGCAGCACATGCATCTCATTTACAATGTCTCAGTTTGGATGATAGCAGGTCTGGTTGTGAATAACGTGAGGAATGATTCCCAGTGAGACCAAAACAAGAAAAATGGACATCAAATCAGAACAAGACTGTTTATTTGTAGAAAAATACCATGCTATAATCTCCATAAATTACCTGGTGAAAATATTCACCAGGTAATTTTATTGGATTGTTACTCTCTTTAAGAGCTGTCACGATAACATATTTTTTTTTATTTTCTGTGAGATTCCAAAGTTATTTTGCTATCAGTCATCCTACAGCACATTATTCTAAATATATGTCACAGAACTGGCATGTCAGAGCTTTCAAAAAAATACATAATCAGCCAGGAGAAGACTGCATGCAAAAAGAAATGTCCTGTCTGAAGTGCGTCTGTGTGGGCAGAATCGCGGGATGGAAGCAGCATGCTTTGAGAAGAGTGAGGAGGGGAAAGAGCAAGTGTTTTTAAAGAGGGGAGAGTGGGAGCGACGGCACAGGAGTGGGAGGGTGGGAGATTTGGAGTCAGAGAGAGAGGGAGGACAAGCGGGTGGGTGCTGTAAAATCCGTTAACGGGGGGAGCTCTGTGCATTTATTAGACATCTTGGCTGCCTGCCCAACTTGCCTCATTGTAAGCGAGGCATGATCGTGAACGGGAGGCAGCCCTCTCTGCTGCCTCGGCTGCCCGGCTCCCAGACCCAGCCCGGCTCCCACCGTTGACATGGAAAGACCTGTGAGTATCTTCTTTCTGCTTCCCTTCTCTCCTCTCTCTGGTGTTGGGTTCCTCCCCCTCTAGTCTGTCGCAGATTTAGCTCTGGCTGCATGCATCTTTCTCTCTGGCTCATTCTGTCTCTGCTGCTGCTGCCTTGTGGGAAAGCAGGATCGCTGGGTAGGAGGAAAGCCTTGGCAGCTTTTTCCCTTCAGGCCCCTTCTCCTCCTCTGCTGCCCTCTTTGCCTGAGCATTGGTGCCGTCTGACCGACAACACCATCTCTGTGCATTCTTTGTGTGTGAACGTTAGCTGTACTGGTGCACTGTTTTCACACTCAGCCCAACCCAGTGGCTTAACATCCCCAAACAGAGTCTCCTCCTTGCATTGGTTTTGCTGTGTTCGTCATTGGCCTCGCTGAGATTTCACAGTGGGCTCTCTGTTGCACCTATTCTTGGTGGTATGTCCTCACGCTCTGTTGTGTTTGGATACCCTGACAACTGCAGACAGTGAGGTAACCACTTTCCGGGCCTGTCGTCTCTTTTGGCAGAGTGAGTCCAAACTTTGCCCATGCTCGGACTCCGTCACAGACCTGTGGTTAATAGTTCCTTAGGAGCCCTGATCTTCAAAAGACATCTCAGGGGGAAAAAAGTCTTTAATTTGGAGGTGAAGCAGCAACAGGGATGCAAATGATGGTGTTTTTAGTGCACTTATTTGTTGTGAGTCATCTCTTCGTTCTCTTTATATCACATGGAAACAACCTTGACTTTAGTGTTGTCATTGGTGCACCAGTGGAGGATGACTGACTCACTGTAGAGCATCACCTCCACAAAACCCCTCGGGGCAACTAACACAAGACTTCAACATTAGAGATGTTTTGTTACAGGTAAGACTGTTCTGTGTTTCAGGAACAGTACCTGCTTAAGTTTTTCTGACAAAAAGCTATTTGTCTAAAATGATTTGTCTTGCAACCAAGAATAAACAAACACATAATTAAAAGTTGCCAAAGTTCATCCAAATGCCTACAGTTTTTTTATTTTCTCTGTTTTTTTATTTTCTCTGCTTTGTCACACATATCAGTACTCCAAAACTTGACAGATCCTTCTTACCTGCAGCATCAAACTTGGAACCTGCGACTGGGCTCCATTTTCCTCAATCTGGACAAACCAGATTGTAGAGGGAATATTAAATTACAGGAGCCCAAAGGATGTGAGATCACCGAGTCAAAGATATTTGATGCTGTGCAACAATTGGGCTGCCTCGAATTAACAACAACTGTCCAGTTGATATTAGCAGCAATGCCGCAGAGGTAAAGCTGCTGCTCCTTGAGTTCACATTTGAGTTTTTAGCCCTGGGCCTCGTGTGCTGTGGCAAGGCGTGCCCTGCTGACTTCACCAGGATGTTTAGGATGCTCTGCATATGTGTAACTGAGCTTCCTAATGAATGCTCCATCTGTGGTGACTGCGAGGTTGTGTTTGTGCTGTTGCTCAGACACAGATGTCTCTCAATGATCAGCATTTTGCTTTATGCTCTCTTCTCTTCATGAACAACATATATTAAGGTTTCACATGACAGCTTGCAGCCTGAGCCTCCCAGTTTTCCATATTTAACATGTGATTTATGATTTTTTATTTTGTAGAAAATGAACTCAAAATGTTATTTTAAAAAAAACATCAAATCATTCTTTTCTTCTTTTTTTAACAATACCAGCTTTTTCTGTTTGAATTTTTTTTTCATGTGTCAAGATGAGGAGTTACTTAGCATACAGCATAAGTTAACAAAAAAAGTATAGACTTTCTTATATGACTATCAAAGCTAAAGTTAAAATCTGAAACCTTCCATTGATTAATGTCTCAGTGTGTCTAACCAGACCACCAGCAACATGATGCCCAAAAGGGATCAGGAAAGAGATCTGGAGCTGGACAAGAAGATTGAGGCTCTCCGCAGGAAGAACGAAGCGCTCATGAAGAGGTACAAGGTGAGGAAGAGCTGCTGGCTGCTTTATGTCAGAATCAGAGCATCCAGCTGAATTTCTAGTCTTTCCTTAAATGAAATAATGCATACTATTATTTTTATACAACTTTTCCTTTAGATTCACAAGATTGTTTTATTTGTTTACATGATCAAAATTAAAAAATGTCTTAACTTGTGCTCATAAAGTGAAGCTTTATGGAATAATGCATCTAGTTAAAAAAGAAAAGCAAAAGAACTGCTGTAGCTTGAAAACCCCCAATGGAGGCATTTCAAAGCACATATTGCAAATCAAGCTGACCTTCAATTTCTTACTATGGAATAAGACAACTTACTACAAACACTGTTAAATGAAAAACGCAGTACCAAGAAGGTTTAATCATTTTATTCTGTAATGTATGCTCCTGTTCTGACCAGCATTGTTATTCTAAGTAGCACAGATGTGTTTTAACACATTCTTTGTAAATGGTAGGATGCCATGAAAGGTGTGAAAAACGTCAGTATTGATGTAGGAGGTTGTTGGATGACTACAAGAGTCCCATTTCAGAAAAAAGAAATAACACTAGGTTTTTTAGGAGTAAGGTGTCCCAACCTTTTCCTTTTAGGACAAACATTTTTGTTGATAGATTTTTGCTTAATGAGTAAAACAAGGACTATATTTGCTGTTTTTAGTGGAATTAAAACACTTTCTTATTCAGCAATAAGTTAAAAGCAGATTAAGGTTATGGTATGTAAACATTTAAACACCAATGACTAAAATGTATTTCTCAAAAATGAGACAATGAGAATCTGTTACTAGGCTTCATGCTCTCAAGGTTTAAACATTTTGTCTCTCTTAAATATGACCGTATCTTTCTCTCTTTAAGGAGGTGGAAGAGGACAGGAGAAAGGCAGAAGAGGAAGGAATGGCGCTGCAGAGCCGAAAAGGAAAAGCTGATGACCTCACCATCACAATCAGCAAGTCCACAGATGTGTGTATCCTGCATAGATCTTACTTCATAGTATGCTGCTAAAAAACAACTTCATGAACTGTTAGTTTTTTTCTGGGTGCAGGAGAGTCGCATGGTGGTAACAAAGCCTTTTGGGAGTGGGTCTCCAACTGGGACAGAACAGCAGGAGGGTGGGACTGATAGGGTGGGAGAAGGGTCCACTCAGGGGACTGGGCGAGGCTCCAGGAAGCAGCTGACGGTCACAATGGCTGGAAAAAAGGTAAAGTCACTTTGGTACATGGATATGGAAGCTTAGAGGAATATTTAGAAATAGCTTAGACTAAATGACTACTGATGGAAGCACTTTATTTTATTTTGTAATTAATTATAATAATAATATTTAATGCAACCTCAATACTTTCTTCAGTCCAGAACTTTCTTAAAAGGATGCTATCCTCTAGAATTAAAAAGTTGACTAATATTTACATTGAATAATTTCGCCTTCATTTTGTTCATAGATCTAGTTTAGTTACTTTCCACCTTGTTGTAACCTGATGATGATGCTTATCATCAACCTATGCAGTTTGATCATATGAGAGGCATTGATCACCTGATAGCAAAACAATATAAAAGGAATATCAGTTCTGAAAAAGATAATAGATGTAAACTATGTATATCCTCATTAATAATCAATGAAAAATAAATGTCAAAGTCGTCGTATAACGCAGATTGAGGAACTGTGGAGGAAACTAATAAGGATGATGGCAAGGAAGCCTTCCAAACTAAGAGACTTGAATGTCGTCATCAAATATAAATTGTGAAAAATAACTGTGAAAACATATAAAATAAAGCACTTTTTGAAATAAATACTCGTACATTGTTTGATTATGCAGTATTTTCAGAGATGTTTGTCTAATTTATTTAAAAAAAAAAACTTATTGGTTCAATTGAAATAATTTTTATCTACAAATATTAAAATTTTTAGGTTTTAAAACAGCAAAGCATTATTTCACTTCACAGCAATGATAAGAAAACACACTTTGTTGCGTAAAGCCAGGTCAGTTGAGTTATTTTCCTGTGTAGAAAAAAAAGGGAAATAGTTGTAGGTTACATACTTCTGGTTAAGAAACTGTCATCTAATAAAAGTCATGGCTCCAGAAATACCAGAGTCTGCCAAATATTGCATCCAAGCAGTGTTGCATATTTCACTGACAATATAGATTCTGTGATACACTGCGTAGCTCTACTGGAAACACAGCTTCTACAGACACAATTTGCATTTGGTTCTTTGTTTGGGAAGTCAGACTCTATGTTACTGCAAAGCACATTAGATGTGATACTCTGACATTCGTAAGTGTCTCCTCAGGGTAAAAGGGTGGTGAGTGAGAGGCCAGAGAAACAACTGGGCCCCACAGATGTCAAGAGCCCCTTGCAAGAAGGACAGACGAGGCAAGTGGAGTCAGCTGGGAGAGGAACGCAGCCGAGTAAGACGACGAAGCGGGAATCATCATCGTCAGCAGCAGTAGCAGCAAAGGTCTGATTCAGACACACGCAACTCATCCGTCTGCCTTCTTTCGCACTTCTCCTCTTTGTTTATTTTCTCCTGCTGCACCCATGTGTTTTACATAGATGTCAGACATGTCTGCCCGCCCGTCCCCTCTAGTGACTGAGCACAATGAGGAGCAGACAGGAGGTGGGCTGAGGCTGTGACTTACTGCTGTGGGATTAGGAAAGAGGGGGCCTCCTGATGGAGCCGTGGCTCTTTAAAAACCCAGCTGCCTAATATAAACTCTGGTCTAAATATATTTTAAAACACTGAACACTTGCCGTTTAAGCTAATTTTGGTTTGGAATTCTGAGAACCTTTTTTTCCCCCTTCCAGACAAGCTCTCTTCTTGATTATTTAATATTTCTTTGTAACGTTCGAATTTTTGAATTTATCTTGTTTTATATGCACATTTTACAGGAGCCACAAAACTCCTTTTTTATTTTGGACTTTTGACAACAGATGTTTGCACACTTTACAAAACACTCGTTTCCTGCTGCCTGACAGTAAATCAGATTAAACCTTTCATATTTTAAGTCAGTTAGGATAACTTAAATAATTTCTCTTTGTTAAATGCCACAAGAACTAGAGTTGTATCGAGAGATTACTTTTTGCTTTCTTTAGGTTCAAATACATTTAACATTTACGTTGTCGTCCTGAAGTCATGTTTTACTAATTCGGTGGGATGCTAAAGGTTACTGTCCCTAAAGCCCATATATGCACAAACTTTACCTTTCTAGCTGCTGTGTTGACATACTGCTTCAGTGATTCCATGATCACTCTCAGGAGCTTCAGCCAACAGCTTTGCAAGATTTTTTTTGCTGTTCTAGTAAAGGAGGTGTGCCTAAAACTACACCTACAGATGTGGCTCAGATTAGTTAAGATTGTCTGTATTAACCTAATGGGCAGTAGTCTTAGGGTATGTAAACTTCTGAGTTTGAGAATGAGATTCTGCCTCTCATTATTCTTGCACTTAGCGAATATTTATAAATCATAACTGACCTAGACTGGAAAGGTTTAGTTTGATTGTTCCTGTATCTTTTTATTAAGTGTATTCAGTTTCAGTTTATTTATGCAGCTCCAGTTCATGCTGAAGTGTGCTTGTGATCCCGTGCTTAACCCAGATATTACCCTGCGCACATGAGGTACCCCCGGCTGGGCTTTGAAATGCCACCCTTTCGCTGAACTCAGTTCCCCCTGGGTATGCAGAAACTCTGGAGCAGCTGCCGTGTCTCACTGTGAAACACACACTCACACTTAAAGGCTCTCAAGCAAGCTGCTCAAGTCAATACGCTGCAGAGCATGCAGATGATGCCTCACAACTGTACATATAAAGTGGGGGTCTGTGGATATAAAAGCAAAGCTAATGGGAGTTTCTAAATTTGTGGATGATTCTCTGGTTACCTGATGCAGAGTGCTGCTCTCCGATCATTCTGAGTTAATGTGGTCTAAAAGCCACAGAATTAAATTGGTGTTTTGTTGCCTTTATTCCAGGCCCACTAAGTCTGTCTCCCTTGTTTATCATGTGTGCTGAATCAGCACTTGACCAGTAGCCAAAACCTCAGTAATCTGGCACCTCCACGGTCCCTGCTTTCACATGGATATTGTTTACAAACCTTTTTCGATATTTTTCTGGACTTTCAGAAATGTGGCCAAACAATCCATGGTAATTTTGGAGAAACTGCAGTGATCTAAAACTTAGGGAAGATCTGTTTACGGGACATCTAGGAGTAGCGCACATTACAAAGCTGGTTGAAAGGAAGGCAAGAAGAAAGCTGTTGTTAAATAATACCACAAGAAGTCCTGCTGGTTTTCGCCAAAAACCTTTTAGAGGATGCAGCAAATTGGTTTTGGTTCACATTGCAGGAGTGGAAGAAATCTAACATTTCACATGGCTCTGAAAATAAAGAAAAAGCAAAGATGGTGACAGCAGCGTAATATCAGGATGCTTCTCTTCAGCAGGGACAGTAAACCACCCAGAGTTGATTACAGCTAAATGGACAACATAGGACAGGGATATCAGAAGAAAATCTGTTTGAGGCATCATCACATACAAAGACAAATCCACTCATTATATAGATAAAATAATCAACACTGAAATAAACCCAATATAAAATATAGAGTTCAGGAATAATAACAATACTGTCGAGCCACAAAAAAATGTCCTAAGTCCAATGGACCGGACTTAGGACATCCTTAATTTAGTCCCTTTGGAGTTAAAACCAAAATGGCGTCACATCGATTGAGGAACTTTATGAGGTCAACGCCTCGTAGCTGGAAGTGTGGCTTGTTCAGTATTACAAAATGGCAATGGAGAAATATCTAGATGATCATCTTTGAAATGCACTTTAACAGGATAATCTTGATCATTTCTGGAAATTCTGTCTTTATGGCCACTGATCCTTCATCGCGGCTTCCTTAGTTTTCTCAATGTATGCAAGTTCACAAGAGCAATGAATTATAAATGTCACAATAAAAGGGGCAGAAAAAGATTTTAGTAGAAAAACTCATGATGCATTTCAATTGATACAGCTCAACCCTACCATTAAAATATTTTGTATAGATTATGTATGGAAGTATCTCATGGGTGATTCAGATTATATGCCTCACAGCTTCTTTGAGAAAAGAAACAGACCGAGGGCACGTGAAGAGTGAGAGAGAAACAAAAGGGGGTGAGGAGGGCAGAGGAGGCTCTTACCAACCGTCCGTCTGCTTCCAGTCTCCGTTTTTCTTCGCTTTAAGTGGTCTTCTCTCCTCTGTCACTATTGTTTCTCCATTCCCAGCACTCAGAAAGGCCCGATTTGATCTAATTAACATTCAACTGCCCTCTCACTCTAAAAAGGCTCATTATGCTGCCAAAGAGACGGACCCCTGGCAGGTTTCCGGGAAATAGCCGGCGAGAAACAAGAGAATGTGGGGTAACAGGGAAAAAGAAGACGAAAAACACAGGTCATCCAATCTGTTGAAATGTTTAATAGCATGTCTTTGCAGTTCTTGCATGTAAATAAGTGTAACTATAAACTAATTACTTTGTCAGATATTCAGAAACATACAAACTCTTGGGGCACAATTTGATGCAGTGTTGACACCCCAGACTGTTTACTGCATGTCTTCCACTTCTCTCTGTCCATGTCCACGAGAGCTAAAAAGGTCAGGCAGGTTTTAATACCATCTCATCTCCGTACAAACTGCATTTTTCTGTGAAGACCCTTTTGCAGAGCAGATATTTTCAGTCTTGATTCTTTCGGTTGTTGCATTTTGAAACCACTGGAGGGCGATGTGAGACTCTTAAAGGATGAGTCACTGACCTACCTGGGTTTTATTTAGCTTTCTGGGGCAGCAGCAGAAACATGGCTCTTTGCAACAATGTTAAACTGCCTGACAACAAATTGCTATGTCATCCTGCGGTTGTTTCGCTTACATTTTACCTTCCTGTCTCTGCTCACTGCCAGGAGGACATTAAACAGGGGCCGATGAACGCAGAGGAGCAACACAAGGATACAGAGCAACGGCAGGTGAACTAATGACAGGACAGACTCTTATAAAAATGGTTATAGTCACTCCTTTTGGAAAACAGCAACATCTCAGATTTGAGAAAAGCTATGAGAGAGAGCAAGTACACGGAAATGCAAATGCACATTTGCACACTACCCTCATCTGAGCTACAACACATTGTTGAGAGGCTGCTGTCTTTTTCTTTTTCCCTGTGTTTTCTAACCCATCATCATGCATCCTAAATCAGGAGCTGGATAATACAGGCTGGTGAGGCAGACTGAATACTGTATGAACATTTACATTATCTTGTAAATGTTTTCATACCACTTTCCAAGTTCTTTAACTTTTAGGATTTTATGTGATAGAGCATAAAATCCTAAAACCTTTTGTATTAAACACAAAGTAGCTCATAAATGTGAAATAGAAGGAAAAGATCCCATAAATATTACATTTTCAATAAAAAAAAGTATAACCACACTGCAAACCTGCCAATAGTTAAATATCCAAATGACATTTGTCAAAATGACTCAAATGACAAATGACCCTCTGAGACTCTGGGGGAGCTGGAGAGATGTCAACCTGTTGGCATGGAAACTATTTATTGCATGGTCTTCAAACGAGGCTTTCATGGAAGAGCATCAAGAATCAAGCACTGGTCTCAGATCCTGAAAATGTACTTGGGAGGCCCTACGGAACAGAAAGAATTAGATTTAATTAATGGTTGGTGGCAGCCGGAGTCGACCTGTCTGAACATGAGAGAATGACCTCCCATGTGGACACAGAGCTTCTCTGAGGGCCGCAGATAAGGGAGGTGCAGAAACGATGGTAAACACAAGGATGAGCCAAGACAACATGTTTACTCTGCTGCAATTGGTCCAAACCGGAGCAAAAAATGGGGACAATGCTTACCAGCACTTGTTGTGTCTCTTGTTCAGTTTTTTTTTTTTGGTTGCAGATTTCTTTGTATTGCAGATTTTTCCCTTAACTTTTTCATATATTTCTCTGTAGAGTGCCATTTATTGTCCTGGTTTGCTCCAAGGCTTTATGACTTCATCGCATAAAAGTCTGTGTCTCTTTTGATGTATTAAGGTGCCTGCATCTGATCTACATTTAGCATGTAGTCGCCCCTGGAGGAAGGAGACCTGATTTTATTAAGTCTACTCTACCCATTTCTTGATTACTGTTCCTCAGTGTTCAGAATAAGACCATAGGAGCCTTCAAATAAAAGAAAAATGCATAAATATACAGAAATTTAAGAGTCTTTGCTGTTTCAACTTCACATTTTCTTGTTGCTACTTCAATAAAATGCTTTTTTTTGCGTTAAAATACATTGACGTGTTTTGTGTCCATGTAGGAGCCTGAGAGCCCGCAGCCCAGCACAGATCTCAACATCCCAACATCAAGGGAGGAGCAGGAGGAGTATCTACGGTGGAAGAAGGAACGTGAGCAGATCGACAGGGAGAGAGTGGCACGCCACAAAAATGCAAAGGGGCAGTGGAGACGTGCATGGGACATGGACAAAACCGAAAACATGTAAGAGCCCGTAAGACCAGTTTATTTTCTATATATATATATATTTTTTTATGTATGGGGTGTCAAACAGCAATTTATGTACACACTTATACATAAGAGCAGCTTAGAGAGATCAATTGGCCTGGCAGTCATGTTTTTGGACCATGGAAGGAAGTCAGTCTACCAGGGAGAACATGCAAACCAAGAACCTTCTTGTTCCAATGAGTCCTAGCAATTGTGCAATGTAGCCCCTACTTTAAATCATGTGTACCACAAATATGGGCAAATGTTATTTAACGATAACCTTTTTTTACAGGGCTGCCCTCACATAATCTTTAATCACTCCATGTTGGTTGCTCTCTCTTGTTTATCCCAACATATTTTCTAACAAATCAAATTAATTTAACAAAAAATCTGTCACAAGGCAGGAAGAATGGCTTCAGTGTTGGATCTTTTATAAAACCTGCAGCTTCATCTATTTCCACAGAAAACAACAAAGCAGCATCAACCTGGTGTTTAGAATTTGGTCTGTAATATCACACAACATGGAAATGCCACCTTTTCTTGAATAATTATTTCACTTTTTGCATTGGTGTGTGTCCTCCCTCACAGATTGAACACTAAGTGATCACAGTAATTTAACATGCAACCTCTAATGTCAGCAGCAAGTTTTTAGTTAAATTTCACTCCAAGAAAGAAAACTATATCCCTGTAACTTGATTTTTTTAATTGTTTTTGAAATTGATATGAGATACCCCCCTACATAAGAAATACACAACATGTTGTAATTTTTTTATTGCTTTTAAATCACTACTTGGTAAAACACTAAAAGCTCCTTCAGACCAAATGGGGGGAAAAAAAACAAAATTCTTAATTTTATTTGATTATTCGGTAAAATTATCCATTACTAAAGCTATTTGAAGTGCTTCAAAAAAGTCTCATCACTTGGTGAAATCACGCAGACTGAGCCCAACTGACTGGAAGCAGAAATGTAGCCCTTCATTTTGAAATGTTTTGTTGAATTTCAGACTAGCCGAGGTGTAGTGCAGAGAGCAAATTACTGGCGCTGTTTAAGGAAGCATCAAAATGTAAAGAGACAAGGGAGGACCTGCTATTTTTAGCCGAGGATAAGCGTCGGAATAGTTTGCCTTATTTGGCAAAGCTTAAACAAGGCCCCCGTGCAAGAGCACAGGCGGAAATGTGCTTTTTATCTGACGGTTTACGTTATTTCAGTGGTTACAAACTGTTTGGATGTGACTCTTGGTATAAAATTTTTAATGGGTAATCTAAAATATTCCAATTTAGTCCTATAATTCTGCGACTTATTAAAATTTCAAAGAACTGGGATGAACCAATTTTCCCTCGATCTGAATTATGCCTTTCCCTCTAGGTTTTCAGACAAATCTCTTCCTGGCAGAGACTGGGCAGCTTCAACTAGAGGTAATAAGATGATTTCTGTAAAAATAAGTGGATGAAAGCGTTCACATAACAGCACTATAATAAAAAGATACATTATTGATTTTACTGGTTCCAGGAGGACGGAATGCGAGAAGAGGTTCGAAAGCGGGTTCGAAAGGTATTTCACTGTTCATTGCTTCAGAATGTTCCTGAAGTATTCATACCCTGGGTCGCTTTCCAGACAGATTTGGTGACCCTAAACATACAGCCAGCGCTACAATAGCGCGGTTTAAATCGAAGCTTATTCATGCATTTAATTAGCCGAGACTCACATTTAATTAAGATCTTTTGGCAAGACTTAAACATTCATTTCCGAAAATAAAAGGCGCAATATTCAGAGCAAAGCTGGTAAAAAAAAAAAAAAAAAATCCCCAGAAAACAAAAAAAACTTGCAGAGGCAGCAAAAGGTCGCCGGTTTTAAATCTGGGTGGCAAAACTTTCAAGATTTATTGTGAATTATTAAGATTGAGAGCATTGTGTCATGTATGGTTTCTCACTTCACTGTAACTTAATACTTTGAAATCCTAATAAAATGAGGTTTATGGTTGTACTGTGAGAACATATTGAAAGGTTTAAGGGGTATGAACATCTCTGCAAAGTCCTGTATCTATTCAAAGAAATGATGAATGAAAATGTTCCTTTTCTGTACTCCTCTGTTTTAGGTCACGACAAGCGAGGCAAAGACAAGGCAGCTAAAAACGTGCTCGTGATGAGCAGCAAAGCAACAGGCAAAGATCGATTAACTGGGAGGGCCAGGAGGTCAGTGACAAACAGAACATATAATCTGCATCGGGATTTCTTCAACTGTGCCATCAGTTAATTGTCCTGAGAGAAATAACTATGACTAATGAAATGCGTAAATCGGATGTGGGAAGGCCATTTTGTTTCCCTGAACTGTGCCCTTGTGTACAAATTTCGCTGAATGTCATGAGACTTGATTTAGATGTTGCGGCAGCTGATTAAATAACCCAAAAGGCCTTGTTTGCATCTGCTGCAGTCAGCTTGTGTCCTCCAGCTTTTAAAACAAATGCTGTGTATGAGCACTGGGGAAAGAGCTGGTTTTACTTTAAATTCAAACCCAAGAGGATCTGGGCATGAAGGGAAGCAATGCACACCTCATACTTTGAATCTTAAATTATAAAACACCTTACATTTTTTTTAAAATCTTCTTTCCATATAGAGCAAATGTAGTGCATGGACAGATTAACACTCTGAGGTGTGACCTGAGAGGTTCCAACTGTGCTACTGACACAGTTTGCAACACATTTCTGATTGCTGCTTCCTCTTTCTGAGTCGGAAATGGAAGTACAGATTGCTCCCTGCAGCCTCATCATCACCACTAATGGATAATGGAGCAGTGGGCCGAGAATCAAATTATAAAGCACTTTGAATAAACACATTGTAGATATTACAAGCTTAGCTTCTTTCAGGAAAACGATTCAATTAATCAACAAATGTTTATACAGCTAAGCCCTCACCAAGGTTTAAAGACAGATAGAATCTCCACTTGTAATTTCAGAAGAGGACAACAGCAGATTCAGTTTTAAAACCGCTGAAATTGTCCTTTATGTCAATACTGTGGCTTAAAATCCTTTCAATGAGACGTAAGGTTTGCTACGACTATTCGGAAGATAAAATAATGCAGCATTCCCTCAGGTGTTGCTGTGCGCTGCTTGTCAGCTGGCTTAAAGAAAAGCCTCTAAAGCTGTGTGAGGTCTCTGCTGCCTGTGAGAGTGATGTGGAGAGGCAGGATTTGCTGATCATGGAGAAGTGTGACAGGGTTTCATAACTCTTCAAAAATCTTTAATAACTTTAATAAAAGTGCCTAGAGTTATTTACTTTTTGGGAGGGGAAAAAAAGTTGCTAAAGGGTATGAAAAGTAGCTAAATTTAGCAACAAAATTGCTAAGTTGGCATCCTGTAGCATACTGGTTGCTATAAACTGTAGACATAAAATTCAGAGAAGGTGCCAGATGTTCAATTGACAAGCAGAATTTAAGTCAGGAACATAATGGGCATTACATTTGTAAACATACTGAAATTGGGATGTTAGCTCTGAATCAATTTACATGCTGTTCTAATCTAAATATCAGATTGATATTTTGGACCCTTAGCCAAAATCTATGAAAAAATAAATGTTTGCAAACTCAGATATTTCAGCTGAAAAAAATCTGAAATACATTTATGTTTTTCAGATGGCAGGATAATGACGATGGAGAGAATACACAGGTTAGAAATAAAATTTAACAGAGAACAAACATAAGCTGCACAGATTGCAAAGACAATAGGCAATAAACACTTTGTTCTTTTTATTTCATCTTCCAGACTACTGAATCAACACTGGAGGAATTCCTTGAAGAACTTGATGCTCTAACAGATGCTAATGAAGGGAATCTGAAAGATCAAGACTCAAAAACAAAGCCAGATCCCTTAAGTGCACCTGAAGATTCTGATAGCTTGAAAGAGGATAAAGTTACTCAGAGGAAAGCGGCAACCTCATCCCCTCGAGGACAAGAGAAGAAAGTACGTTTCTCAGAGGAACTCATCCAGAAGGCTCCCGCTAAGCAAGCTACAACTTCTGCAGCTCTAGAATCTAAAGGCTCTCTGAAAGCCTCCTCACCAAAACACAGTGAGGTGCAGAGGCCACAGCTGGCTTGTGTAAGTGCAGAGCAGGATGGTAGTAGTTCCCAGGATAAAGGAGGAGGTCTTCTTTCTCCTCCTGTTGTCCAGCAGCAGGCATCTAAAACTGAAAGTGTTAAAAAAGTCACCAGCAGCCCAGAAGTTTGCAGCGTTACTTCTGATGAAAAAACCAGCACCTCTCCACATGAGAGCCCTGTCCAGCCTGTAGAAGTGTCCAAGTGCAACAGCAGCAGTACGAACACAGGTAACCGCTTTGATGGCAGAACGCATAAATGTTCTAGACCTTAAACCCTTGGAGAAAAAAAAAATGTTTTTTTTTTCTTTACAAATCAAACCCCAGAAATTTTGGTCTGTTTTTAGCCATATTTACTCTGATATATTTAAATACAATGTTGTCCAACTAACTGGCATCAGAAGTCATAAACAGATTTCACATGATAGTATTCAATGTGAAATTAGTAAACTCAAACAATTTACTACTTGTAAAACAGTACTCCACATTTTAAGCATCTCACTGAACTCTGTTCAGTCTGCTGTCTGAAAATACAAAGAATATTCCAAACCTACCAACACATTTCCAAGAGGACAACACTAACCGTATGTTGGAGCTACAATGGAATGGTTTCAAATCTAATTACTTATAGTCACCTCTTAGAATGGCCTAGTCAAAGTCCAGTGTGGGACAAATTTTAATTTGTCTATAAACAACAAATTAAAATTTGTTGTTTATAGAAACTCTCAATCCAGGCTGATTGAGAGTGCATGCATTTTACAAAAAAAACAAACAGCAGAGATTTGCAAAGCTGTTGGAAACTTACAGCTGTGGTTGGAATGACAGTTGGATCCAGACAGCGGTCTCTGGGGGTTGCTAAATACAAATAAACACCTCTCCGGCATGTATGCTACAATTATGTGCTACTTTAAATTGGTGTATCACTTAAAACCACTGCTTAAAAAGTGAATAATCACTTTTTTTTTCTATCACAGAAGAACTGAAAGACTCCACTCTGTCTGTCCTGAGAATAGATTCAGGAGAGTCACACCCAGCACACTCCACCAGCAATGACAAGGTCAGTACCAGGGACAGGAAGAAGGATGGGGGGATGTAATAGATGTGTAAATGGACTGATGTGAGGATGGAGGTATAAACGGATGAGTAGTTAAATGGATGAAGAGAGATGTGCAATATATCCGCACTGCAGCTTTGATCCCAGTATAGTCACCACCCCTGAGGGCCTGGTGGAGTGCAGATAATACCTCTTCATCTCATCATCCACTCGGACATGCACAAAAACCTCCCACTCTTATCATTCACATAGAGAAGTGGTACATTTGGGTTACATAAATTGTGAACTTAGAAAAAAAAAATGAATTTAGTCATTCATTTTGTGTGCATGTTTTCTCTTTTTGCAGGCAAGAGAGCACGGGAAGGTTGTTTGACATTTTTGGAGCATCAATCCTGAAACCAAATTGCTATGATTGGATGCTTTTTGCTTCAGTGGCCTCCAAGCTAAAAACCAACCTTTCATTTGCAGCGCCGAGACCCTCCAACCGAATCTAATTTCTGACACCAGAGTAGGAAGTGTTATTGAGCATTTCAAATGTTTTTACATCTAAGCACTTTATGAGTATACAGGACTGTTTACTGAGACATTCTTCAGTATGTTAGTAAGCTGCTTGAGTGCAATATCTTTGAATGTTTACATTTGTATGAAAAGTTAAAGGTACATATCCTGAGGCTATTTAGTCAGTTCAACTTAGGTAGTCTTTGACAGTAAATTAAGCCACAATAAAATAATAGTGCCTAATTAAGCCTTAGGAATTATTTTGACTAAAATATTATTTAACTTCAGACACAAACCAGAGTCTTAATATCTATGTTCAATAACTGATTGGATGTTATTTGTCGAGTCCTTTCAGAACAAAACCCACAACTCTCAGTGCATCTGCAAAGTGACCTGGTTTTACAGTTTTCTGACAAGAATGTTTTACCAAGAAAACTTGAAAATGGGACTTGCTGGTTATCAAAAAAAGTTTATTTTTGTGCTAGCTTGAGATTTCTAACCTAGGACAAATGTAAAAAACAAAACGAAAAAAAAAACAGGATCACCAAACTCTGACTCTCCCACCATGGCAGCTTTATAGGAACAGCTATGTTCTTGAAATGAGGTATTAGTAAAAGGTTGTAAGCAGTTAATGTTAGGCTATCGAGCATGGCACTGAGCATCTTCATTTGGCATAAATCTAGATGAGGTGGCCAGGAGACCAAAGGTAACAGCTAGTTCAAGAGGCAGCCAGAAGCGGCTCTTAACGAAGGCTTTTGGGAAGTTGTCCAGGGCAGGATTTGAAAAATAATAGTGATTTGTCTGTTGCCCGTGTTCACTGTTGAGAAAAAGAAGAGTATTTTATGTGTCTATAGCAAAGCACTTTTTTAACTCCCAAAATGTTCTTGATTTTTAAGAGTGGCAAACCCCACATCCTACTTCAACTTGTGTTTTATGTTTAAGTGGCAATGTCAGAACTATATGACAATGAACATTTGAAATTTCATCATGTTTGCCTTGGGTGTTTTATTTTATTTTATAAAGCCAAGCAATTATTTTTATTGGAATTTGATAAATTATGTAAAGAGAAGCTGTCTGATATAAAAGCAATGGAGTGTATAAATCAATTAAATGGCATGCACAGATTTGGAATGCCCCTTCATTCCCATCTCTTGGTGTAGTTGGAAAGTGAATGATGCCGGGGTGTGGAGGAAAAACAAGACAAAACATTGCCAAAAACTAAATGACAATGCAGAATGTGAAATGTGAAAAGTAATTACAGGCTTATTCAGTTTTATTAGACTGGACAGGACATTTTAATTCTGTTTCATTTTTCTTCTTGGCATCTTTTGGACTGGGTCAGTGTCTAAAGCTCTGGGAGCTTCCAGGGTTGAAGCCCTCAGTTGACATGCAACCATGTCCATATTTATAACCAGAAAGGAAAAGGAAGATATAATTTTCTTTACCTTGTTTAAACTCAGAAACAACAAGGAGAATGAAATGCAAACCAAACAGTAGATAAGACTCTGAGGGTGGAGCTGCTTTCCCATTCAAGGTCTCACACATGTACTCTGTCTTGATTGAATTGCTACAGAATAAAATAATTCAATTATTGTGGAAGTCCAGTAAACACATTTTCATTTTAATTAGAAGAGAGACATAAAAAGCATGTGCAATGTTAAATTGCAGGTATTCATTTGTACAATAAGACATCCAAAGCAAATGATCAAAGCTCTGAAATTTGGCTCAGCATTAACTGATTATAAGGTTTTGAGACTGGAGTTTTGTAAAAATGTTATATGTCTTTTTTTTTTTCAACTAACCTTGATTTATATGAAATAAAGATGCTTAGATAATTAAGTAAGATATTAACTGCTGACAACATTTTAAGGGAGTCACACTTTAAAAATATCAAAGAGTCCCTTTAAATGCATGTTTTAGTCTTGGTGTAATAAGACTGAGGCATTGTACCGTAAGTGCATTTTTTGCTAACTATTTTATTCAGCAAAGGTGAATGAAATTGTTTTTGAATGGTTTATTACAACCTTCTCTCCAACTTTGCACCAAATATGGTATTATTACAATAATATTTTCCCTTAAAGACAGAAGGATTTGCTACTCTGAGTGTTGCAGGAATTTTATTAACACTTTGTGAAACATAGACCTGGTAAAGCCATTAGTTATAAACATTAAAAGAAACCAAGGTGTTACACAATTTTACAAGTCAATCTCAATAATTAAGTGAGATTTATAATGCAGCATATGGCTGGCCATAATTCTGACCTAAATGAAACTGACTTTGGTCACTAAAACACATCTGTTTTTGATATGTTTGCTAAAACTGTTTCTTATAAAAAGTCAAAATTATACTACAATCAGAGCAACTAACTTCTGACCCTTTTTCTTGACTTGAGGTCTTGTGTGACAAACTTATTTCAGTCAGAGCACTGTGGTTCTGCAGACACACCACTTTAATATTGTTCCGCCATTTATTCTGTATTATAACTTTTATGGAAAGCTCACATTTTTCAGAAAGCTGATCTTAATGAAGAAATGACCCAGTTCTTGTGCCTTGCTCTTTGGATTCTTCAGACTGAAGGTGTATTTTAAATTCATGGTTTGCATCATAACTATCACATGCAGCTGCAGTTATTTTATTTATTTGCCTTATGTGCAGACATCCGAATGTTCATTGCAAATCAAAAAAACACTGTCTCCCCCTGTGACCAGCGTGTGCTTTTTTTGTTTGTGTTTATTGCCTGTCAGCTGTTATTTTTGGTATCACATGATAAGAAGCCTTACAAGAACACTGTTCTCAGAAATGTTTGCGGCTTCCATCAGAGCTGCAGTATAGTAAACAGTTATATAACCCTGAGTGGAGAATGCAGCGGACATGCTTTGTGAGGCTGGGAGACGAGCTCCCAGCCTCACACTAGCTTTGGATGAAGTTACGTAAAAAAAGCTAATATTCTGGAATCTGTTGTAACAGCAAGATGGATTCAATCCATTCATGAGGACACAACAGGAGGCCTTAATTTTCGTACTGAGAAGACGGTACTTTTCTTGCAAAGGAGCATCTGTTTGAAAAATAGGTGACCTTTGATGCCTTTAAAACTCCCTGTGGGATTCAGTGTAAAAAGACGTTTAGGGTATACAATCCTAGAGTAGTTAGGTGTTACATGTCCTTGTTAGGTGCTTTCAAGGTATTAATTCATGAAGTGACTAATGTAGGAGGTCATTATTCACTTTGTGTGTGCATCGCTGCCCTCTAAGTTTTCACATGCAAAAATAAAATGGTTGTGACTATTTTTAAGTATGAGTTGTTACCACAGCTTTTTGCAGTGTGAGTCCATGTGGGACAAGCCTTCATGTACTGTAGGGCAAACCTAAGAAGTAATAACATCAATAAAGTTTGTTTCTGTATGTCAAAACCTTTTTAATATGTGCGTTGTGTTGCACTTCACACTGACAGTTGAATATGTGTACATCTGATCTAATCTTTTGGTATTTTGCCTAAAGTAAGATAAATTTCAGCCTCAAATAAAGTTACCTTTAATTAGTTCAGCATTTATGGAGTTTATACACTTTACACTTTAGGACAATTAAATGTTGTCCTTCTGGAAAGTGAAGCTAGACTCCAATCTCAAGTATCTTTATATGTTTTATACATCTGTCTTTGGTATTTAAATGAATAATCTGGAACAATGATTACAGTTTTTCCAATGCAATGGTTCATCTCTAGAGTCCAGTAACTTCTTTTACCTTGTGACTCATCTGACACACCAAGACTTTTGATTTTAACGTCTTAATGACCTTCTGGTTTTAAGTCGTTGATTTTATCTGTACAGCACTTTGTTGCAGCTGTTGTTTTTAATGTGCTTCATAAATAAAGTAGCAGTAAAAAAATAAGCCATTGAGGAACTACAGCAAACTATAAGAGACATCTGCCTCTTTCAGTTTTGTCTTTTACTTACCCACCTAGTAGGAGCTTGCTGGACTCCCAATTTACTCTGTAAATTCCACAACAAGAGATGTTTCTGTTCAATAAGTACATAAAAATGTCTAGCAAGTTCAGCAGCTCCTTATTCTTTATTTTTGCCCACATCTGTGGATCAAAAATCCTAAGTAGTAAATATTTCAGATAACACATTTAATTCTATATTTTGTGAGCAATAGAGATAATTAATGAAGCGCGTTTTTATCATGGTTAAAAAAATAATAATTAAAGTGCTGTGGAGAAAATTGACAGGTAAAACAGAAAATGCAAGGCCTCAGTTTGCACAGTGATCCCTTCATACTGGATGTGATTAATTCACTTTGCTGCATTTGAAACACGTGGGACCTCCCATAGGTCCCAGTTTTTTAATTATCGCCTCCCCAGGCTATCTCCATGGCAGCCTTTTGGGTGTGTGACCTTCTGTTCATAACAGCAACCTCTCTCCTTTCAGAAGTGCATACCTCTTTTTCTTTTACACAATCTTGATTATTTCTAATTTCAGGAATGCAACGCCACTCATTTGTGTGTATGCTACTTTTAATGCAGTTTGAGGTTAAACTAAATAAGATTTTCACACATTACCCTACTGCATGGGGGTGTTGCTGTTATATGGAAATGATTCTTGTAGGCAGTTGTAGAGGTTTGAAATGCAGTGTAGGATTATGTCAGCTTTACATTGTGTGGAAGCTTCATAATCTTGATATCCAGGACAAAAAAAGTGTTTTTCTTTTAGTCCCTCTGTGACTATGTTAAAGCCGTGTTAGTGCAGTGCATCGTAGGTCACAAAGAATTCTTTCAGCTCTTTGAGCTGGTGTTGTGCGTTTTTAAATATTAACTGTATTGATGAAAAAATGGCTAATAATAAGAAATAACCCAAATGAAAACATATATGTAATCAAGGAAACATAAGAATTTAGTAATCTAACACATGAAAGCCTTTTTCTAAATGACATAATATATTTTAGCCATATATAGCATATAAAAGCCAGATCCTTCAGGTACCCGAGGTTGTTTGTGATTATAAAATGTACCAGCTAAAAATCCTTTCTTTCACGGCTCTTTACTCCTTGTTTATCCTCTGTCAACACAAACTGTCTGCTGACATACGTGTATCACATTACATCAATAAAGCCTCTCTCCAAACGGTCCTCCAGCATGTTTAGCCATGATAAATCATGATAATTAGTTTCAGATGTGATTCCTGTGTCTGAGCTTAATGAGGGAAAGAGTGTCTGTAGCTACAGCCTGATAATATGTCAGCATTTTAATTTCCCTTCCACCCAGACTCTATTCAACATTAGCTCACAGCGACTTTGTAGGACCAAAGAGAATGTTTTTATGTGTACGATATCTACAGACTGGCTTTTAGAGTTTGAGTGGCATGTCGGACTATGCACTTTGAGTAACATTTTTTTTTGACAAATTCATTACACCACAACAGACTTTGATCTGTAAATTATAGATTGATCATCTCAAATAACTAGACTTGCACAACCCTCACATGGGTAGCTAATGTCAAATAGTTTTTTGTGGTGACAGAATTGCTGGGAGAAACATGTACAGTATGTCTGTGCACTTTGAAGTACAATTGCTGGACAGAACAGCAGAGATTATAATTGGTCAAATACGGGACATATTCCGTGCTCTGGGCCTGAGCACAACTATACAGGAAAACCTGCAAAGCTGATGATAGAAGCTGCACTACAATTTTTTGAATTTATCTGTGGCACTGTTTCTGCTCAACACTTTCACAACGTCATGACTTTGTATATAAAAAAGCTTTTTAAATAACAAAATTAGCTCAATAAACAGTATTTTATGCATGTTCATGTTACAGTAAAAATTCTTCTGGTTCTAGCTTTTTAATTTGCTGTGCAGATACAATGTGTTTCCATTTGTTAGTCTTTAGAGACAGCAAAGAGAAGACGCTTTGAAGTGAAATACAAAGGGTGAATTTGGCTTCTTGTTTGGGTGTGTGGTGTATTTTAACAGCTAGATATTTAGAACAATGAGGTAAGAGCTGATGTCTATTATTAGAGCTGATAAATGGAGGTTACCTGGAAGCTAGTTCTGGCCTGGGTTTGCACTGCGACCCTGACAGAACCTGACAGGTCATCCATCCCCATTGGTGTGTGAGTCATCCATCCCCTCCATGTTTGGCTTCAAGATGTAACAACCACGCCTCTACAGACGCTCTGCTCAGGATGACTGTGCCTTCTCTGCCTCTTTTTTCTTCCTCTTCTCGAAACAGGAAGACTGAGAAAATGTCCCTGGACTTCCAACCTGCTCTGCGGTCAGCTAGCTTCAGTACCATTAATCAGATAAAAGAACTGTCTTTTAATTTATAATTTATTTTATTCACTTAGAAGTGTTTTCATTTTAAATGTACAGAAACACTTGAGGCATTGAAATTGAGGTCTGAATACTGTTGCATTTCATCAAGTTTTAAAGTTGCTATTTGGACCCCTCAATATCAACTTAATCAACATAATTTAGGCAATAGTTTGTGGCCAATAGAAATACATGTTTTTATCTAAAGATATTGTGTTTTTGTATTTTGTGGACAATCATGAATTAGTGAAGATAAAATCTTCCGTCAAAGATATAAGCTTCTGAATCCAAATGTCTCCAGTGACATCGTAAGACAATAGATCAACTGTATTCTTTTACTCTCAATTTGCATTATTAAAACAAATTCAGCCATCAGATTCTCTGTAATACCAGCCAGTAATATGATGGTAAGGCTTTGGTGATACCATCAACCAGGAAGACAAAACACAAATGCAGAACAAAAATTAACAGTTTCTATTTCAGTGCATTCTTTATTAAAAAATCTTTATTCTGAAATGTTGCAGTAGTAATCCAACCTTCATTTCCCAGCTGTGTTTTGATTGTTACTCCAAATTTGTTAGAGATGTGTGTATGACTCACACAGATTTTTACTTCATAAGGTAAAATTCTTTGCTTTTATCTTTTAATTGCGATAAAACTTTAAAATTTCAAATTTTCACTTTTATAACTGCTCCACAATCATGGACCACTCTACATTGACCTATCACATAAAGTCCCAATTAAATGTATTGCAATTTGTTGTTTTACTGTGACAAAAAGTAAATACTTTTGCAAGTATTTACATGACAATAAATAAATGCTTCTTCCAAGAGTTGATTGCGTGAATAGTTGTGACCCATTTTCTTCCTTTAGCTACTCAAACAAATCTCACATTAGACTCTTTTGAAACATATGACTGAGTTGACGTCAGATAATTGAGTCATCTGCTTGGTTGAATAGTTTTGAGAGGCATGAGGTCATACGCTGTGCGCTCTGACTCAGATGCAGCTTCCAGCAATAACTGTAACCACAGATAAACTCCTCCATCAAAAGAAGCCATAGGACCCATTGGCTATGCATATTTTAGGACCAAACGCGTAAACAGACACCAGTCAGTCGCTCTTGTAATTATTTCCTGCTGCCTCCTCTGATGAATGAACCTCCTGTTTAGCACACAACCTTGGCTTTGATTCTGCAAATCTGTCACGCTGACACAACAAGGCCTGTCCTCACTGTTTACATCAAAGTGAGGTGGTGACTGCTCAGCAGAAATCAAATGATTTAATTTGGATCGCGGTTTGTGAATAATGGCTGTCACTGACACCACAGAAGGCGAGCCTCTCATCCAAGCGATTCCCTCTTTAAGACAGAGCGGAGTCAAAATAGCAGCAAGCAGCATTGTGTAATGTGCCTCTCTGCTCTGTACTGAGCAACAACAAGAGAACTCAAATCGATACACCTCCCTCACACTGTGCTGAGAGAGCAGAGCAGGTGTTGGTGTTGTTTCCACTTTGTAGCTCATCACGTGTTTTTTTTTTATGAAGTGGAATTGTGGCCCAGTCTGTGGGATGAAAACATGTGAACCCTACTGATCATACAGCTGCGTAAACAGTGTAGAAGAGTCTCCTTAAATTTGATTAAACACTTAATATCACAGGGCTGGCTGTAAGCTGAGGTCCCGGTGCTGGCGTTGCTCTTACTTCTGTTGTACCTACGCCTTCACAAGAAACAACACTCATTGTTATGTTTTACACTGTGAACTGAGTCACTGTTCATTTAAATTCCTCTAGCCAGGTTTGAAAGAATATGGAAGATGTGAAATTAAATAAAACTAATTTGGATTTACTTTAACTTTATTTTTTTAGATTAATTGTTGTCAAACTTTTGTGCACTTTTGTGTACAACCATGCTCTCAAGAGACTCCTCAAACATTAACTTAAATTGATGTTAAATCACACAAGGAAATCAACACATCATTACCCATTTGCATGTTTGTAGTAAAAAAAAAAAAATCAGAGCACCTGATTGAAAAAGAGGCAGAAAATCTTTACTAGAAAACTTGAGGTTTCACATCAACGCTGACTTTCAGATCCAGTAGGGCTGCCATGCATTCAAATTGCTGTGACAACTCCAGAAATACACTTTATTTATTTTTCAGGGTTTCTGCCTTATCAACTCTTCCCAGAAATTAAAAAATGTGGAATTCAAAAAGGAAAAATCAATCTACTTTAAATAAAGAAACACTGCTTTATTTATTTATCAATTTTTTCTGGTAAAAATCAACCCCTTGTCCTTCGCTATTTGCCTCATAAAGACGATCTGGGCTCTCTGCTGTTGTGACACGATTGTTTCTTGGAGATGTGGACTGTGTTGAGATTTTAAATTTTACCCGCTTGCTACTGTTTGCCCTTGATGTTTGAAATGCACCAGTTAGATGCTAAGAAGCTTACAGCAAATCACCTGTACTGTAAAAAACCATGCTCCAATGCTAAGCGAGAAGTGCCGAGCTGAACGAGGCAGCTATCAATGTTAATATATTTGGAAGTGTGACCAACACTGACTGGATGGCATTGTTCACTTCCTGCACTGCCATTGCTAAAGCTATAAGCAGAATAAAATTCAAAAACATCACAGAAAATCAACATCATTATTCACAACTTCTCCTTCTGTTCGCTGATTGACCCAGTTAAAAATCAATTGGAGACAATCCAAGTCAATTGGAGAGAGCCCAGTCTATGCTGTAAGCAATATTTTTTTTAGCAGAATTACACAGGAATACAATGGCCAGGCTAATTTCAACCATTAACCTCTTGTACTTGTGAGGAGGCAAGGGTGGGTGTCCCGAAATTATGTTGGTTAAGAAGGGCTACAGAGCAGAAAATGGCTTTGTTACCCTTAATGAGAAAAACTTTTCAGTTACACTTGGAAGCTGCAAATCCTCAGACAAACATTCAGTATATTTTAGTGCCGCAATAACTACTGCCATTGTAATGTTAAGTAAAGTTTTTTGACATATCTTTGATATATTATTATTCATACCTTTTGTCCCAACAAGCAGAGAAAGATTGCTATACTGTAAGGGTTTGACATACACAGTTATATTTTCGATCAGATTATGCCTTAAGATTTTCTTTTTGACAACTTCTCCAAGTGACCGGAAATACCCACTGGCCCCAACATCTACAGTTCCTGCAAAGGTCTTAGGATTTTCCCAGTACTCTCCTAACTAGTCTAATCATGCAGTGCAAAAAGCGAAAAACAAAAAACAAATGAGCAAATCCTACTGCTTTTCAGACACAGTAAGGTTGGATTTGACATTATTTTCTCATCAAATCTACAATTTGAGAAGAAAATGAAGCGCAGCATGACAGCCAAAGGCACCTCTTCCCAGTTCACCTTCCTCTGTTTCTACAACAGAGCTCTCAAAATACTATCCTATCTTCCATGTTTTATTTTAATATATATTTATTTGTATACATGTATTCAAAAGGGGATAACGTACATCAATAAACATATAAACTTAAATGCAAATGTACCAAAAGGCTAGTTTTCATCAGTATTCCCAGTAGATGATCTAAATAGGCTTCCAGATCAATGTGCTTGAACAGCTTTAGCAATTTGGGCTTATTAGCTCTACATTACAGCTCATTTACATTACATTTACCTTGTAAATATTTGATACCATATGTTCCTCTGAGTACTACTACAGACACAAGTACCACCAGTAGTACCTGTGCCACAGTTCGAGAAACATGCTCTAAATAAACAAAGATATCATCGACGAACAGAATAATGACAGATAATTGATAGAAAACCATTGAAATTAATCATTTCCTACAGATGTTTATTTGTATGGTGGAATATAGTTATGCCTATTGTATATACTGTTACTTTCAATCAAAATCTGCTATATTTCCACGAAAAGTTCAAAGCCAAAATATGTATGCCTGTCTTATATGTACAGAATCAAATACACATAACATTTACATAGTTATATGCACATACTGTACCTGAGCATAACTTAATAATGCAGGCTCTTCTAATGGGATAGAATCCAGAGTTTAATTTATCAAAGAAAGCACAGTTTATAGGCTATATGTAAAAAAAAAATTAAAGTACCCAGCCAAGATGTGTGTAATGGCTCCATATAAATTTTGTTCAGCATGGCTGGATACTAATTTGGTTTAGCCCAACCAAATTATGCAGTACAGTTACAACCCATACGCTTCCCAATTTTTTCCTAATTTTACAATTCATAGACACAGGCTGGTTACTTGTGTGTAGGTACGAAACATAAAATAGTTATGGCTTGAAAAGCACAAAAATGGATAGTATTAATATATTTAAATGATTTTTTTATGACATCTGAAATAGTTTCCAGAATGACCAGTGTGTTCTCAGGCTGTGTACAGTGCAAAAAGAAAATGTGATCCAACTTTAAAAAAATAATAAGAATTTGTTACAAGTAGTCAAATTAGGCTTATCCAAGTAAATATACGTTTATTAAGATGTCATGTTAAACAAATATATATAAAGCAAGTTTGACAGACTTAATTTGATTACATGTAACAGATTAAATTTTATTATTTTTTTTACCTCTGATGGTCCTACCCCAAGTCTTGCAGTGCAGTGCTGATTCAGCTGGCTCAACGATGGCTGCTACATTCTCCCATGGTTACAAGAAAGACAAATTTAACTGTTCAGAATATTTCCAGACGCAATAGACATGGCGGGTCATGGTGTGGAAACTGAACTACAGGCGCACCACTTGTCACTGTTTTAAAATGACACCTAACATCCTATGACCTGAATGTCTGTAAAGCACCTGAGTGCAGGCAGGCTACTCGAGCAGCTGTATCTTGACTAATTAACCAGCTAATACCAGCTTGTTATTTTACAATATAAATGGAAGAACATCAAAAAGCATATATTCATATAAGCTCTTGAAATATACAAATTAAATTAACAAGCGTTCAATATCTATATGTATTAAATTTAAAGTAATAAATTAAATTCAGGATGTACATAGACATCATTCAGACATGAGTGAAATTGTGTGCGCTGATTTGCACATACGGATTTTGCTTTAATTTTTTTATACCTGGCATTCTTGGTCTAAACTTTGACCAAGAATTAAAAATTGGTAGAAAGAAACACCCAGGGAGAAAAAACAAAGAATTTCATCACTGCAATACTGAATTATTCAAGATTATGTCAACTGGACTGATGTAAATGTAAATACAGTAAAACTGTAGCATTTACCAGAATCTAACACCAGCCTATGTCTATGGTGAAATCTTCAGACAATCCCATTTGTGGCCCCTTTTGTAACACAAATGGGTCCCACACAAGTAAATGTTGGCCAAGTAATATTGATTTAAATTGATAAATTACACCTCAGTATGACAGAGTGTCCTACAAAACCGAAAACAAAATGCTGGCCATCGTTCTATATAATTTGGAAACACTTTTACCAGTTTTGTCCACACTTTCGGGCAGGTAATTGGCTTCAAAAGTGGATTTAAGGCATAGAGATGTCTCTAAAATAAAAAGTAAAGCATAGTACAGGGGAAAGTGATCTTTGAGGAAAATAGCGGTCCTCTGTTCTCAGGCATGAAATCAAGGTTACTGGTATGTGCAGTTCAGCATCCATACGGAGGCTCTGCAAAGTGAGCTCTCCAGCAAGAAGACCTTTGTGTTAATCCGACCTGCGGCTTTGAGAATGTAAAACTTTACGTTTTTTAAATAAGAGAGGAGGGTACAGTGGTGGGTTATGAGGGGCGGCCCGGTCAGTCTCCTCTCAGCTCCGGGTCTAAGTCGGAGGGACAGTGGCTCCGTCCGCGGCCGCCTGCTCGGGGCCGCTGTTCTCGGTCGCCGCGTCGCTCTCCTCCTCCGGGGTGAGAGGGACGCTCGTGTGCGTGTCACCGCGGGAAGACGCGTTCAGTTTTTCCGCGTGCGCACTTTCTGCTCCCTCTGCGCCGCGCACGTAGACGAACCCCCTTTCCGCATAAGTGCGCGGGGTCGTGGCCAGCCCGGTTCGGTTCACAGCCATGTCGGTCACCACCACTGTCTGTGTAGAGTTCCACTCTGAGACGCTGCTGTTCGGAGAAACTGCTGAGATGTTCGCGGTGGGGGAGACCCCTTCAGGCACCACAGGCTTCCCAGATGAGGAGGATGCGCTGGTTGGCTTCCAGATCAGACTGTAGTAAATAGCCAGGATAATGGCTGCTAAGGACACCGACAACACATATGCAAAAACAGTGGCAAGTCTCACCCACTTCTTGTTAGTCTTAGCAGCCATTTTAGCCTTTTTGTCCCCCGTGTAAGTGGCAGGTTTGCCTCTCTCCATGTTGGGCATGAAGTCCCGCTCTCTCATGTTGCCCCTGTTTTTCCCTCGATGCTCCACAACCCCCTCCGTCTTGAAGGTTTTCTCCTGATCCCCTCGTCCAAGGAAAAGAGGAACCAGCGGGCCGAGGAGCAGGGTTCTGCGCTGCAGGGAATATCTGGATTGTAGATGAATAGATTTCCCCTTCAATTTGTCTGATCTCGCTTCATTTCAGGTATCCGGTGCGGCGTTGCGTTTCATAACGCACATCGCGCGTCCACGGGGTGACTGCGCGTTTCAGCATCTGGAAAAAGAGATACTCCAAGGGAACATCTGGCTGCATGGGCCCACTGCGAATCCACAGGATGCGAACTGATGTCATGCATTAAAAACGATGAAGCCCATTCCAGTCCACGCTCAGAGATGTGCCTGTCTTATCCAGCAAATGAAGAAGCTGGCTCAGCTAAAAATATAGGCGAGGGGGCGGGCGGTGTCTCTTAAAGAAGTAGCAGCTGTGCGGCACCCCCAAGAGGAAGAGGGGGAAAAAAAAACCCATCATCTAGCATCACCTTTACATCAGGACGATGCATGGAGACCAGGATGTTGCGGAGGAGTCTTTCAAGAGTTTTAGATGCGCGCACCCAAGTGGATAGGATGCCTACAGTGTCAATAATAATAAGAAAAAAACAAAACATAAAAACAATTTATTCAGTTTAGTGAAGGAGTTATGTAATGTAGGTTTAAATATTACACTACAGCCAGAGGGCCCGTGTGTCACACGGTTATTTATTTTAACCTCACGTGAATATGTCCGTCCTTTTCCCCTCACTGCTCAAATATTTAAAGATTTATGCCTTCTGAAATATTTTCAAAAGATTCCTTTTTTCTTTTTTCTACAGCTTTACTGTAATTTGTAGGGGTTGAATGTGTCAGAGCCCACTGGCCCAAAGTTGGGGTCTTAAGCAGAATTTGATTTGAGGCCCTGCGCCTCCTTCTGTGTTCATGAAGATATTTGATGGAATCTGGGAAACAGAGGCCAGGTTTAATCAACCCCCTTTGTCTATCTCAGAATGAGACATAAATTGCTCAGATCCATTTGTAAACAAAGCAAAGTGAAACACGCACAAAGAAAATACTAAATAGCATCAGACAGTATGTCTGTCAGCACATATATCATACAAAGATTATTTGCAGTTTTACGAAGTAAACTTATCAATTTCTTGAGATCTCGACTGCAATTTCTTTAGAATAAATAATTATCTTTATTAATAATACACGAACAAATGTAAAATTTCAGCTCTCTGGTTTGTGTTAGAAAGTAAACATTCATGGTAGACTGTCATGGTTTACATTGACTTCGTTTGCTGTTGCCCTGGTTTGGCTGTAGTGTCAGATAAAGTAGTGCATCTTTGTGAAACAAATGAAATTACCACAGCCATATTGGTCCCTAGCTTTATTCCTGATGTAGATCCTGGTTTTATTTATCTTGTTTACTTTGGCGAACGTCTTTCCCTTTTGCAACAGTTTAGCAGCAAATATATCTTGTTCTCTAGTGCATCCTTTCACAAGACAGAAAATGCAAAGTGATTTCTCTACGTTTCAGCTGTGCAATTATCCACATGAGCCAACATTCAGGTTAAAGATGCAACACTTTGGAAGAGGTGATAGTTCTCACTACCTTGTTTCGTTAATGGTATCAGGAGGGACGAGGGGGCATGTACATTTTGGTCTCGTTAGGATAAACTGACCTTGCGGTGGTCCCTTCTGTGGTCCCTGTTCTGACGCACTGTTTGCACTAGCTATTGCACAGCCAGGAGCTTCATTTGAATGGTATCCAAATACCTGGGGATCCTTTGTCAAAACAGAAACCAGCATCCAACCTGCAGTAATAAATCAGGGAAATGATTCTAAATGGTTGTGGAGGGAAATTTTACAAAAAAAAAAAAAAAAATCTGATAAATGTTATTGAAATTAAGTTTGAAGCAAAACAACAATCAAAGTAGGTGAAGAGTTAAAAAGAATAATGTCACCAATGCAAATCTTCAAAAGATATAAAGTGAATAAAGAAATGTGAAGAAAACATGTTTTCATGTGTAAAAGTGTCTCTTCGGATTATTTATTTAGGGGTCAGTTGTCTCAAACTACATGAAAACCATTTTTCCACTTATTTCAGCTGCTGTCGCAAAAGTTGTTTAGAGTTTCACTCAAATAAAATAGTTTCAAACATGGTCTCTCTCACTGGTGAGGTGGCAGATGACAGCATCAGCACTTTTTCCATAGAGTTGTAGAATGGCAATACATTTTATTAATGTTCATGGACAAATTAGTGTTTTCATTTACATAAAAAAGACATATTGCTCTATAAAATTAAACTAAACTTTATACTTGAACTAAAGATTATTTAAAAGAGAACTATGAACTTAAATTCAGTGGTGATCTATCCATTAATAATTTTAGTCTTGTGTGTAATTCAAATACACACATTTAAATACATCTGTCTGAGGTTAAAGCTGGTCTACAAATTACTGGAAAAAGGAAAAATATTTTTTGGTAAAGAACTAAATGTTCAAAATGGTAATTAAAATAATACAATTTAACATTTGTCAACAGTTTGTCAGTCATAAGAAGCCTACAAAATAAAATGATCAATGTCGGTGTTGTTGCATTAGAAACATATTTTCTGATGAAACAATAAAATATTGTTTCAAAAATATTATGTTCAATCACTTGTTAACCACACCTTTTTGTTGGACTGTAAGTCACTAAATCACAGGATGTTTGGCTTCACCTTTCGCTTTGCTATGTGTCTTCCCTGACTAAATTTGCAATGCATATTGACTTAGGGTGTGTCCCGACTCTAGTCAGGTGGGATGAACTCCAGCAGTGCATCTTTTGGATGCAGATGGAGTGGTAAGATAGTTAGTGGGTATAAGTATGGTGGATATTCAGTTTTTATTTAAGCTTTAGTTTTGGGCTCGAGGGACAGAATGAATAAGAAAAGATACTTCCTTGACCATCCAGAGGTCAAAGACTATCTGGTGAAAGGAGAACGGTTTACCAAGTGGTCGGAGGTGAGTGAACATTTTAGTAAGGAAGGAAACTGGCTTACATCTGAAAATTAGTTCATCGCTTAACTCAAAGTCTGGTACAGGTGAATGTGCACTGCAACAAGTGGATTGTTTAAAATCGATACACATTTAATTTGTGTGAAAGCCAATTCCCCTGTCTCTTCCAAGGACACAACAAAGACTGTTCCCGTCACCATGAAGATGGATCCGAAAGGTTTTTATGTCTACTGGACAAACCAAAGCAAGGTAATCAATTTTTTAGTGACTGAAATGGCAAGCAAGATTCAGTCATTAAGCCTTTGAGATTAGTGTTATAGAAAAGGCTATTAATGCAATCCAAATGGCCGCATCTTAAAAAACCTTTCAGCTTAATTACACAGTATTTATTTACTCTTTTTGTATCCAAGCTTTAAAGTTGGCAAGCTGCGATTGCAAGCAGCTCACAGCTGGATCGCAGTGTTCAGAAAGCTGAGAATTATTTTAAAATGTGACCTTCATGTAGGTGGATTTTGTTGTAGAGCTGATGCATTGAATTGTATTAGACAGAGTATCTGCTCACATTTGAAAGGCAGGTGAGTGCATCCCAGATTCAGACGGTGAGTAAAATGTAAGTGATTCTGATCTGTGAAGGCTGTGAGATAACTCACAGCTCCTTTGGCCTCCTTCCCTCCTAGGCAGCTATTGATTAGTGCTGACGTGTGGCTGGACTGTGATCCCTTTGTTTTTTTTGTTGTTGTTTTTTTTACATCGTCAGTTTTTCTCATTAAGGTCAAAACATTAAGAAAAAAAACATGTGAGGCTTTAATATATGGCTCGACAGAATAACAACATGTTGTTTCATGTTACTTTAAGAAAGCACAAATAGATAATCTTCCCATAGACGAAGTAAATCCCATTGATTTTGTTGTAGTATCTAAATCTGTGTTTGGCCCAGTGCTGATATGAAGAGATCACAGCAAGATATGATTCTGACTCTTGTTTCTAGGAGACAACGTTCCTGGATGTAGCCACAATCAGGGACACAAGGACAGGAAAATATGCAAAACTTCCCAAGGTAAGTATTACTTAATTACTTTATTAAATTATTTAATAATCTGCAGTTTCTTTGGAATTTAGTCAAATAAAAGTTGTTTCTTGTATAGGAATCTCTGCATGCATGCAAATATGGTGTTAAGCCCTTAGTTTGCCCATTAATTTGAGAATCATATTTGCATTGCAAAAAACACCAGGGGACAAGCACACGAGGCTTTCTGCCCAACTCCAGACGAAACACACAGAGGCACCGGTGCACAAAGAGACGGAAGTACAATCTGACTAACTCATGATCTGTGTCCTCTGGGATTGGGCTTGTTTTTTTCTTTTCCTTTTTTTGAGCCGAAAGCTGCCAGTTAGTTGCAGTTCATTTCTAGTTCTCGAAGGCCCCCACTGAGTTGCAACATGCAGCCGTCCATCGTCATGCCTCACTGAGAGGGAAATGTGTTTCCCCTGAGAGCTGAGAGAGCTGCATAATTTCAGTCAGGGTGCAGACGGATGTACATCTTCCTATTTGGCCCCCAAGGAGCATTTGGGAAGCTGCTCCAAGGCTGACGTCATTTCTGCATCAGCAGGGAGAGGAACCAAAATGATTGATTGTGGAGAGGCCTTGGAAGGTCCCACCTAAAACATGGAATAGCTTTTTCCAGTGTGTTGTGACGTGTTGTGTGTGAGCCCCTATTTGAGATTGAGTCTCTGTCTGTGTGTGTGTGCTTGTAAGGATTTCAAAGTGCCTGTACATGTGTTTGCATATTCTGCTTACCACATTTGTTTGCAAAGGTGAGTCTTCCAGATATCCACTGTGTGCTGTTTCAAAATTGTCTTCATTTAAATGGGTAAAAAAAATAAATAAAAAATCTAATTTGAAATTCAAGCTCAACAGCTAACAACTAAATAAATGACATTAAGACCAATCAAATTTCGATGGCACTTTTGTCTTATTACAGCATCCAAAAGTGCGCAATGTCTTCAACCTGGACTTCCCCGACAGCAACCACCTTGCCAAAACACTGACAATCGTCTCAGGCCCAGACATGGTGAATCTGACCTACCATAACTTCTTTGCCTCAAAAGAAAAAGTGACTCAGGTAAAAATAAACCCCAGCATGAGTCTTTCTGTCGCTTGTTCCCTGAAATGACTTAAACACAGACGGAAGCCGTCTGCCATTATGCAATAATCCGCTGCTTTCCCTTTAATAAGGCACTCACAGCTTCCTTTTTAGCTTTATTAGACTTTGTGGCGCCATCATTTATATTTAATCAGCTAAAATAAAATTACAAATGTTCTTCATTCAAATACAACATTTACCATAATGTCCTGAACTGCTGCCATATTCACGCCATCTAGTGGTGAAAGTGTGTATTTTTATAATCCTGCCTACACTAATGGCAAAGCCTTGCTAAAGTACTCACAATTTTGCAAGGCAAAACATTTTCACATGTCACAAACATAAACTTCAAT